AAAACATACGTACGTCGCTAGCAAAATAAGTTGTACAATTGTTCCCAATGCGATTGGAAGCTCTGTCCTTGTCGTGGCTATTTAATATTCGATAAGTCTACGATTCACTCATTAAACTAATCCTTTGTTTCTAAAATTAAGTATGACCTATCTTCACGAAAAGTTTGACCTTGGAAAAAAATTTATGTTTAGTATAGAATAATATATCTTTTTTATTCCATGGAATCTAGAATTTTCACTTCCTCGTGTTCATTACACTAGTAAACGTAATTAGCTTAGTTTACTAAAACCCATAGCACTTTTTTTTTATTCGTAGTTTCTCATACGAACAATAAATTTTAGTTTCAATTCGAATTATGACTAAGCCATCCTTTTTTTAAAGTAGTATTTCTTGTCTGTTTCGTCATAGCGTATGCTAATTAGTCATTGCATTTATCATACTTTATATGCTGATGTTCTTCTGTAACATGATCGTTCTTAGAGAATTAATGGAGATTTATATTTTCTTTTGTGTTTAATATTTTTTTCTTCTTACAAATAGATGATATTTGAGCTTATTACATTTTTTTAAAAATGTTATATTGTATTGAATTTCTTATCAGTTGCTAGCATAGAATTCTGTGAACTAATTCCAGGTCGAAAAGTTTGATTTATTTTAGATGTTTAGTTTGTACTATTTTCTTATAAGACTGATTATTTATACAAAAATATTTTATTTGTGTTTTACACAATTTAAAATTAGTTTCAATTTTTTTTTTGTTTGCAACTAATTTAGTTTTTAATGCGGGCTCATGTTTAAATGTTGAAGTGAAAAAGGCTTGTCTCAGAGCAGAAAATTTACCTTATTAAGGTTCCACGACCCCATGTGAAGTATCTGTGATCTTTCTTCCAATCAATCTACTTCGACGTATTGTCACTCCGTAGCGTATGAAAACGCCATTCGTTTGACACGATTCAAAATTATTTTTGACAATTGTCAAAAATAATACCAAAAGGTTTTTTTCCCTCCGACATGACGGTTAAAACAAGATAAAACAGTCAATTGTCAAAAACTTTCCAACCTTGCCTAATGATATTTTTTAAAATTGCTTAAAAATATTTTTTGAGTGCTTGAAAAGTGCTTAAAAGGTGCTTATTTTTTGTTGAATAATTTGGCTACTCACCCTTTTAAATAATTGGGATAAAAAAATTTTTTCTCACCAGTTTTTGAGATTAAATGCAACAAATTTATGTAACGGAGCAAAAAAAAAGAAGAAAAAAAATGGGGAAAAAAAGTGATCATTAAAATGTTGGCATACCTTTTATTTTTGTTTCCCTTATAGAACTAACTTTGTGATTGCCTTAGCTTTTTTCTTTCATGTCGTAAAGCTTCGCTGGTCATCCAAAAATATCCGAAACTCCCGGAAGAATGCGGTCTTAAGTCATTTCAATGAATTCTTCAATGATAAAGTATGTACTCAGGTGGTAATTTTAGCTCCCACGCTATTATATGTCTTTTCAAAGTTAAATCCCAATCATTTTTGTTAGTTTGTATTGTTCAATGCTCTGATTTATTGTTGGTTACAAATTATTACCGCTTGAAGTATGAATTATTTGTGTTGGAAAACTAATGAGAAGTGTTGTTTACGACGATCTCTTTATTTTTCGCCATTTTGGCTGATGAAGTAATAAAAGAAGCCCAGTTCTTTTCTTCTGGCGAAATTTACCTTTCTTGCAGTGCATTACAATAAAACATTATTTGTGAAAATCTTATTTTATTCTGTTTCGTTTTAGCTGTTATTGTTTAAAAAATAACAGCTTAAGTTCTCCATTATTTTTTTAGCTCTTTATTTTTATTTAAAAGCGGATTTTTAAAATAGATTGAGATGGAATATTTGAATCATATTTTTTAATTGATAATATTTTGTGCGAAATTAGAGCGCATATATTTATTACTGATCATTCCTTTCGTACACTGGAATTAAAATAGAATTATCAACCTTTCGACAAATAAATGACCTCTGTTCTGCATTTAAATATTTTAGTTTTGTATAAACCGGTGTCTTGCATTGATAATTATGCCTATTCTGGCATTTGAAATAGAGGATCTTAATGAAATGATGCAAGTTTTCTGATAGTTTATTTGTCCTCCCTATAACTTTGGTTACTGATTATAAATATAGGCTTCCCTCGGTACTTTAAATTCCGTAATTTTTTTTGTGAAAATTAAGGGCTCTTAAACATTAATATTGGTACAAACAATTTAATCTTTAGAAAATATATAAGTCAAGAAGTTTTAGTCTTTAGAAAAAACTAAAGAGTACTTATTTTAATGAATACAGTCATACCAGTATTTCTTGCAACAAGCGAAATCGTGTGTTTTTGGGAGAAAAGTAAGATTTTTTTTTAATTTTACATTTGATGATAATTGTATTTTTAAGGTCCTTTAATTTTTTTTTAAAAACAGTCTAATTTTGATAAAAAAAGTGGGAACCCTAAAATATTACTGCTGAAATGCAAAGTTAGTTACTTTTAAAATCATATCTCAATCCTTCTTGCATGAGAAATAGTTGTTTTTAATCACTTTAATTTCGTTTACTTACGTCTATATTTTTAATTTCAAAAAAAAATTAACAGTTTTTCTTAGTAACCTATGTTTTTTCCCCCCAGTCCACGGATTATTATTTTTTGTTTTGAAAACTTCGAATTAGATAAGTTATTTCAATTAGTTTAAATGTAAACTTTTTTATTTGTTGGCGAAGACTGCTTAAATTTTAATTTTTAAGAAAGGGTTTTCCCCTTTCTTTTAAATATTGATTTCTAGCAATATTTTATATTACAGACATTTATATTTCGTCAGTCTTAATTGTTTTATTTCTTAATTAAAAATTGACTAATTAATAATTTACTGAATACCGTTTTTTTTTAAAAAAAAAATTTCATTTCAGCTATGTAAAAATATTTTTCATTATGTAAGTAATTTTTTTATTTGATTGACAAATGGAATTTTTCTGCTGTCATTTTATTGTTATCTAATTATTTTCATGGAAGGGATGACAAATAGTGTATTTATCAGACAAAAGGTTTTTGTGTGGTGATATTCGCTGTGAATGTTTCATTTGGCGGAGTTGTTTGACCTTTCCGTTTGCCTTTCAGAACTTTTCAGCTAAGACGTGAACTTCCTTTTCAATTTTCGTGCATTGCGTTCATCATCCCGTGCACGATGATTTTCGTACTGTCCAATTTTAGTTTATAAATAGTTGTGCTTTAGCTTTCTTTTTTCCCCTCTTCCGATTGAGGAAGTAATATCGTAGAAGTGTTCGTTGTAGGCTAATTGAAAAATAAGCCTTTACTTTGGTGGGCCTTTTGTTAAAAGCTTGGAACCTTTTATGGAACCAGGTTACTAGATTAAAAAAAAAAAAAATTGTAGATTTTTAAAGCTATATCTGCTTATTGCGTGAGCATAAACTATCATGCTAGTTTAGTTAAATAAAGGGTTAGATTAAGTTAGTTAATAAGTTAAATAAGTTAGATTAAGGTGACCAGATTTTTAAACCATGATTTGAGAACAATTCATTGGACCGTCCTCGAAAAATTTCAATATAAGAGGGCACTCTCCATTTATTTATAGAAAATATTAATTTATATTAAAAATATTAGTTGCAACAAATGTTTTTTTTTAAAATTTTTAATTTTATTTTTTAAATTGATAGCTAATATCAGGTACAGAACTATCTTCATCAAACTTGATATTATTACAAAGCTATTTCGACCTATGATATTCTGTATTTGTTTAGTACATGTGAAATGAATAAATGTATGATTATTCAAATTTGTTTATTCTTCGCATAAATAATTTTCAGACGAATATGGAGTTTTCATCAATTTGGTTTAGCATCGCATTTTTCGGAAGACAAAATTATCTTGTTGCGTATTCTTTGTAAAATACACTTATCTTCTTTCAAAAATAATCCTGCGCATTTCTGATTTTTTTAAAAATATTTCACTGCAAATAAAATTGAGGACAAACGTTAAGATTTGTGGATGTTTGTTGTCTTCAAAGTTTGTTTGAAAGCTGAGAACTAAAGAAATTAGAGGACGTCTGGCTACCTTAATGTAATGAATTTTATAATTTAGTTTGCGCATTTCTAAGTGACGACGTTGTTTGTAAAAAGTCGGATTTTTAAATTATTTTACGAAACATAGATTAGCGACTGTTAGTCTAGGAAGTAATGTATGGCAGACAAAAAAACCGACCACGTTATTTCAGTAAGAAATTTTCCTGTTATTTGAAATAGACACAAAAGAATTCAAAGCAGTAAGTCATTTTTTTATTTGTTGATTAGTTTCAAATTTTTTTCAGACTTACTAAAAAAGATTAAAATTGTTCCAACATAGAATAAGAATTTTAATAAGATATAATTTGAAATGGTAGAATTGGTTTACAATTCTTAACACAATTTTCGATTTAATTTTTTATTTTGATTCCATTTTTTTTTAGTAATATATATTTTTTAAAAATATTTTAATTTTATTGCAGTTTGAATTTATAGACTTTTTTTTTGTTGATGTTTGAACATTTTATTTATTCCTTTTTTTTTGTTTCTTTCTGTTTGTTTTCTTTTTTTGTTTATTTCATTCAGATTTTCTTGATTTTTAATCTCTAGCTGAGCAGTAAATTTATTTTATGTATTTTGATTCTTTTTTAACTTTTGTGATTGTGAATTAAAAAAATAATTATTTCAGTTTCATTAAAATATAATTTCTAACTTAAAATTTTGGGATTTTTTCTTCTTTCAATGATGGGTAATATTCTATCTAGAATTAATACAATTATTATTAAATCAATGTTACAAATAATAGTTTTGCATTTTTGATTCTTAAAATTAGAAATTTCTTAAAATGTCATTCAGAAATAACTAATTTCATAAGCTTTAAAATTATGCTACTTAAATGGATTTGCTCTCTAATTTGAAGTATAAATATACCAGACCTTTAATTTTTTTAAATTTCTTCTACAGTAGTGAAACCTCAGGATGACCAGCACAGAAAATGCCAACGAGGTTAACGAAAACGCTAAAATTCCAGAAATGTATGATCCAGATGATCCTGAGTGTCAAAGGCAGATGTGGAGACCACCAGATATTCAACAAGATGTTCAAGAAATGGAACGAAGGAAGAGAGTTGAAATTATTATGAATAGGTAATTTCACCTAGGTTTTGTTTTTAAAAATCCGTTATAAGGTGACAAATTTATGTGAACATAANTTTATTTATTCTTTTTTTTTGTTTTTGTTTTCTTTTTTTGTTTGTTTTCTAGATTATTAATCTCTAGCTGAGCAGTAAATTTATTTTGTCTTTTGATTCGCCTTTAACTTTAGTGATTGTGAATTAAAAAATTATTTTAGTTTCATTAAAATATAATTTCTAACTTCAAATTTCAGATTTTTTTCTTCCGAAGATGGGTAATATTCTATCTAGAATTAATACAATTATTATTAAAGCAATGTTACAAATAATCCATTTGCATTTTTGATTTTTAAAATTTGAAATGTTTTAATGTCATTCAAAAGTAACTAATTTCATAAGCTTTAAAATTATGCTACTTAAATAAATTTGCGAAGTTTAAATATACCAGAACTTTAATTTTTTAAAATTTCTTCTACAGTAGTGAAACCTCAGGATGACCAGCACAGAAAATGCCAACGAGGTCAACGAAAACGCTAAAATTCCAGAAATGTATGATCCAGATGATCCTGAGTGTCAAAGGCAGATGTGGAGACCACCAGATATTCAACAAGATGTTCAAGAAATGGAACGAAGGAAGAGAGTTGAAATTATTATGAATAGGTAATTTCACCTAGGTTTTGTTTTTAAAAATCTGTTATAAGGTGACAAATTTATGTGAACATAACATGGACTTCTTAATAAAACTAGAATGTCTTTATTATTTTAAAAGATTAAGAGAAGAAGATCCCAAGTGACATTTTAGAGAAAATTTCAGATTTTTCTGGGAAATATTTTAGCCTTATTTGACGATACTTTATTAATTTTGCCAAGTCTTTTTATTTGGCTAAGTAGAAAAATCCATATAAACATAACATGGGTGTCCTAATAAAACTAAAATGTCTTGATTTTCTGAAAAGATTGGGAGAAGCAAATTCGAGGTGACATTTTACTGAGAATTTAGATTTATCTGGGAAATTGTCTTATTTGATTATATAGTACATGGCGCATAGCATTTTTAAAAAGTGCTTAAAGATGCTTATTTTTGATTTTTATTTTTTAAAAGCCCTTGAAGCCTTGGGGCTTTTTTTATTGAGTGTTTTTAAAAAGTGCTTAATTTTACTTTTTCGAAAATGAGATTTTTTTTTCTTTACCATGTCAATTTTTGCCACATATTATTCAAAAGTGTGGTTTTCACATTGTTCTATTTAACGCTTTCACAATTCATTCAAACACAATGCATTTCAGTGTACCGTCAGTCCGTATCGTATGATAGCGTAAATCATGTTACATGCTTGATGAAATGCTTGCGGGTCCGCATGTGCGTCTACTGAGCGCTGGGTTCGGTGAGATTCTTGCACTCTCATGTGCAACTCTGCTGTATTTTGCAAGATATTCTCAATTTCAGGCTTTATTTTTCACCCTCTGAAATCGAACCGAAAAATCTCTTGATCATTTTTTAATGGCTAATATAATCAAGAAAAGAGTTCTTTGTCAAATTCTAGTTATTTTATCATGATCATGTGAAGTCTGAGATTTATTTTGCATTTTGTCAATTTACATAGTGCTTANAAAAGTTTTTAAAAAGTGCTTATTTTTTATTCAAAGATTTGGCTACGCACCCTGTATTTGTTTTTAAAAGTTTTATTTCAATATTTTTGTGTGGAAAGCTTATGGTTTAATACGGTGTTTTTGCTGACTTTTAACTAACCCAAGTAATTTAGCTAATCTGTCATAAAAGATTAACATAAGCCAAATGAAAAAAAAAAAATTAGGTTAAGGCTTGATAAATGTCTGGAACGGAATCATAATAAAACATACTTCAAATTTTTACCAAGTAACTTTGATAAAAGCGGTAAAACCTAAGATTCACCAGGCTTCATATATTTTCAGTAGAAAATGTTTATTATAAATTTTTTCACTTTATTTTTCAGTCAAGTTTTTCGGGAAGAGCTAGAGAGGATCATAGAGTCCCAAATGAGTGAAGGTGGGGTCACAGCGAATTTATCTGCTCTACAACAAGTGACAGAACTTTTGCTTCCTCACACTTCTCGTACAGCTCCAACAGCTGTTAGGTCTGGTGTTTGCGTTATTCCAATCAATGACATCCGGGGAGTAGATGGATTACGTTATGCTAAAGGTGAAAAGGTACAGCGAACTAAGTTGGCTGCAGTCTATAGGTTAATAGATTTGTATGGCTGGGCTGAAAGCATGTTTAACAATATAACTGTAAGTATTTTTTCAAATTAAATGTTTTAATTAATTTTTCTTGTAATGAATTTATAATTGGAATTTTGGGATATTATATTTAATAATTTGTATTAGAATTGTATTTATGTATGTTAAATATTTATTTTCCTGTACAATGTTTTTTGATTAAAAGGAAAATTACTCTATTTTTATTTGTTATTCAAAGACATTTATGCTAAATATAAGTGTATTAACATTTAAATTAATAAGTTAAAAGCTTTTATATTAATATTAATATTTTTTTTACAATATTTTATTAAAATAACAATTAGTATTTATCCTTAATTACAATTTCACAATTATTATTGCAGTCTTATGGTTGAATAATAAAAATATCGGTTCTTAAGAATCTTCGTAATTATCTATTTGAAACCTTCTTTCTTTAATTACTAGAAGTTGTGATATTTTGTTGTTAGAAATTAATCTGATAATTTTTTCTACTCCTAATACTATTTTAAAAACATCTAAGAGCAAAAATAATTTATTAGTACAAAAAAAAAGCAATCTGGAAGAAGTCTTTCCTTCAACATTCATTCCGGAACTTAACTCTCCTTTTCTTACAGAAAGGCAAAAGAACATAAACTTATAATACTTCAAAATGATTTTTTCAAAAAGAGCGTAAGCTCATCTAAAATGCTGTGATCAAAATCTTTTAATGGAACATTTATTATTGTAAGAACATTTATTCCAAGTAATCAATTTAATTTTACCTTTCTGTATTTAAGTATAAATTTTCAGTGTTTTATCATTTAAAAAATTTTTTTAATAGAATTACATAGCACATAAACTTTAAAAACAGTAATGCTAACTGTAGAGATTTCTGTATTATTATTACTTTTGTTTATTGACAGCTAGTTGAAAAGTTGGCACCTTTTTTTAAAAGTATATATAGTTTTGTTTCTGCTGAAAATTGCTAGATTCTAAAATCTGTATTTTTATAAAAGTACATCTGCAAAGAAGACAGTTTAATTTAATCATTGTCTTTTAAAATTTAATTTTTTTGGATCATATGTAATACAAATGAAATATCTTTATAAAGTTTGCAAAAAGTTATGCGTTTAAACAACCATTTTATAAAATAATATTGTTGTAAAGAAACTGTTTTTATTACTCATTATTAAAAAAATGTCGCACAGTCGCAATAACTCTTTTAAATATTTATTCTATTCATTAAAAAAATTAACATTATTTCTGTTGCTTTAGGATATTTTTTATTGCTTTATTACTTAGTTTTAGATTGTTCAAATGTGAAACTTTGACTTTCGGAGAATATTTTTCCTTGAAAGTCAATTGCTTTAATATGGAAATCAACAATGGAAGTCGTCATACCTCAATTTTGTTTTAACTAAAATCTTATGTCCCACAAAAATTCTTAGCCTGTTCGCGTGTGTTCTTTTATCAAAAACCAAAGTTATATATCTAAATTTTATTCAACATTTGCTATGTATGAAAATATTCTTATGTCATTTGTAAGAACCATGACTTGATTATATAATATTTAGCTTCTCTTATACCAATCTCTTTAAATATTGAATGGAATGTTTAATTTTCATTTATCAATATGCATATATTATTAATTTAATATTTTTTTAAAATTTACTGCTACCATTTATATTAATTTATGATTTATTTCTGAAATAGAAAAATAAAGGTGTTGAACATGTTTAGACATTTTTTGTGTGCATATAGTTATAAATGTAATTTAATATTTATTTAATTTAGCATAATGTAAATTATTTAAGAAGAGCATCCTAAATGATTTTGTTTATAAATGTATCTTCTTTTTTTTTAAAAAAAAAAAGAAAAATTGTCACAAATGTCATTGATATGGCAAAAATGTTTGTTTTCTCTTACAGGTGCGTGTTAGTCAAGACCAAGAACACTTTCTATGCCATCCATATGGATTACAGTATCATGAAATCACTGCCTCATCCTTATTGAAAGTTGACATGCAAGGAAACGTTATTGATCTTGGGACAACAAACTATACATTCAATAAATCAGGATTTTCTTTGCATTCAGCCATTCATGCTGCCAGGCCAGATATAAAGTGTATTATTCAAGTCCATTCTCCCCCTTGCATTGCCGTAAGTGTATTCCTTCTCAATTTTTTAAAATTGCAAGAATATTTTAATTTTAAATAACCTTTAAAGTTATATAACTCCGACTATATTCCTTTTCCTGTATGTTTACTATTTACTATGTTTAAACTTCTTTCCTATAAATTTTACTTCATACTTTTTTATAGCAATTTTCTAACTTCAATTTTGTGGATACAATTTTATTACCATCGTTGAACAGCCGACCCAATTTAGGGTTTACGCTACTAATGCTCTACTCCGTAGCCATGTAATTTTGAACCCAATCCAGAAGACAAAGGAACTCCTGGATCAAGTATTGGGAGAAATTTGCCTTCATAGAGGACTTTTTTTGATGGAACTAAGCTGCATTTGCGTTACATCGAGAGGTAAAACCACAAAAGTCTCCCACGGTTAGTCTGATAACAAGGGGATTCTAACCTATGATCCGTCTACCACTGAGGATAATTTACGTCAGCTCTGTGGTCGCTGCAATCAGAGTGCGGAATTCGAATTGACCAGCTATAGCTGTGATCGAACCCTGGTCACCTCATTGGGTGTCGAGCGCTCTATTCCCTGAGTCACCACAATTGAACTCATTCCTAACGAGTATATGAGGAATCTCTGTAATAAGGAATGTCTGTATTTTGTTGCTCCTCAAATCAGTGTGCTTCAGCAACTAGGATGTAGTTGTGTTGGCCAAAATTACTAACACAGAAAAATTTATTGAAAATATTTGAAAATAACGTTTATTTTATCTGCACACAAATTTTAAACATACTAAACTAAAAGACAAATAAAATTTTAAGGAGCAGTTTGATACTTCTTTAAGTAAAATTTTTAAGAAGTTTATGGAAAATTACTTTTTAAGTTCAAGACAACTAGAAAATTTTAAGACTTTCGCATTTCTTAAAAATGTCTGTATTTTGTTGCTCATTAAAGTAGTGCAAATGTTTTTTTGGTCCAAGCTGCAATTTTCTTGTTATTTTTCAATGAAATTAATTTAGAAACTATTCAAATAGTCTGTAAACTACTTTATCTTGATTTCTAAACCTGTTTACACACTGAGTTTCTGAATTGATTGTTTTTCTATTTTACAGATTAAGCCATATTTATTTATCAATTATCATAAAATCTTGTACATATTTATCTGTGCAAGATTATGTAACAAGATTGTGTACAAGGTATATGTTTATCATTTAAATGCTATGTTATATTTGTTCAAAGAAAATTGCATTTTTTTTAGCATGTGGCTATCATTCTAATTCAGTTATTTATTCATCTAAGAATAAGTTTTAAGTTAATTTGTTTTTTTTCTAGGTATCTGCCACCAAATGTGGTCTTTTGCCCATCAGTCAAGAAGCTGCCATTCTTGGAGAGATAAGTTACTGCGATTTTCATGGTATACCATCTGACCAATCTGGGAGAGATCAAATTTCACGTAGTCTAGGGCCTCTAAATAAAGTAAGTTGAAATCTTATGTTTCCAACTTTTTAATTGATATGTTTTAATGCAATGCTACCAAGCTTTTTCATTTTTTGCATAACTTTACATTGAAGGTTTTTTTTAACCTGTTAATTTAATTTGATTGAATTATTCTACTACTACAAATAGAATTTCTCAAGGAAATCTCTCACCAATCAAAACTCTGAATTAGAGTTCTCAAATTTTCAGTGGAGCTATCTATTTTATGACAATACAAGTTTCTGCCTTTTTCTCACCATTCAGACTTGATTGCTAATTGAAATTATCAGCTATCAAAACCACTTTGACCACTTTTTAAATATCTTGAGTTCTCAAATTTCTACTGGAGCTCTGTGCGTGATGCTAATACAACTGTTTCCTAAATGTTGCAAGGCTCTTTCACCATTTAATGGCCTATCAAAATTTTGATTGACTATTACTTAACTATTAACTTCTATTTTCACTGAAAATTCCCTCTACGCCCAGAAGCAGAATATTTTCAAATGTTCTGCAACAGGACTTATTAATTTAAACAAATGTTCTGCAAGCATTTCACAGCGCAAAAAAGCCAACTTTACAATAAAATACTATACTTTCATTTATTAAATTATAGGATCATACACAGATGCACTACATTATTTTTTAAACCAAGGCAAACATTCTTGATTTGTTACTTTTTCAATCACTTTTGAAGTAAAAAATTTTGTTAATGACTATGATGATGATGATGAATTATTAATAAAATGCCTATGATATGAAGGTCCAAACATTAAAATAAGGCCTGCCTTAAAAATTTTTTGAAAGGACAAGTGCCCAGATAGTGCACCATTTGCAAACACAAACATTCGTTGGTCTGTTGTTCCAACAACTTCTTCCTCTCCATCGAAAGCATTTGGTCTTTTAGAGACAATTCTGTCAATCGTGGATCCCCACAATTCACAAATTGCTTCTGAAATGGGAATTGAAAATACAAAATGTCATGAACTTTATGAAATTTGAAATCTCTGAATTTAATTCTTTTGCTTGCTTTAGAAGCTCTCTTAATAAAAATGGTTACAGAAGTATTCAAGATACAAATTGTTCTGCAGGACTTCATTTGTTCTGATACGTATGTCTCAGTTTTAGGCACTTTCTGCTTCTGGGCCTCTACGTTTTGGGTTTGACATAAATATTTTTTCTATTTTTTTAGGTCAGTGCAGAAAATTAATTTTGAAATTTGTTTTATTTTGTTAATCTCTTACACGCTAGATATATATTGAGAAATCGGCCTATTTGTGAAACATCAAAAGGATAAAATCAATAACTTCTGTTAATATATAGTGACAGATCACCAGGAGTTTTATCATATTTTTCTGATATTGATAAATATTTTTATTTGATATTGATAAGTATTTTTACTTTCTAGATTTTAATTTTGAGAAATAGGGGCATTTTAATTTGTGGAGAATCCATAGAAGAAGCAGTCTTTATGTTGCATAAGTGTGTTGCAGCTTGTGAAACACAGGTATGGATTTGTTCTAGAATATTAATTTAGTTTCTTTTTTTTTTATCTTCTTAATTATAAAAATTTTATAAATTATGAAACAAATATTTATCATAAATATTGTCTTGAACGGGTGTACAATTCCTTGTTTTAAGTAAACAAGTTTTTTCTTTTTAGATTTGTAAAGTTGTTTTACCAATAATAAATTCTAAGAAAGTCAAATATTTGAAAAGTCCCGCAGCGGACTGATCGTTCGGACAAGGTTCCCAGCAGATCACCGAAGTCAAGCATCACTGGCTGCGGTCAGTGTGCGGGTGGGTGACCACTTTTATCAGTTTGCGTAGGGACCGAGGGTGTGCGGTATGGGTCCTCGTTAAACTGTGCTACTGTAAAGTGCTCGACTTCGCGCGCCGTTCGTCGGGCTATCGAAGCTGGGGTGCCACCCCCTCCGCAGAGGATCAAAATTGTGATGGCTTGTCTTCGGCTAATCCTTTGGGATGCTTCCCAGACCGTCGCCAGTAGCCAATTGTGCAGCTCTAGTGCGACGTAAATTAACTACAACTACAACAACAATTGTATTTTTTTTTTTGCTTTAAAAAACAAAGTAAATGTGGAATGAAAATGGGATTTTTATCTACATAGTTTTCTTTAACGAAAGTTCCATTTGTGCACCAATTTATTTACATAACAATCTTGTTATGTATATTTGTTACAGTTTCTTGTAATTTTTTTTAAAAATGTGTTATTAATTGTTTAGGTGAGGTTAATGCCTATTGGTATTGATAATATTCAAATGATGTCAGAAGAAGCTATTAAAAATGAACGAGAAATGATCATATCTGGAGGTTATCCTATAGAAATCAAAGATGATGAACCTCCTGGAGGTGATGAAGATAAAGAGAAGGCAGAGCCAAAAGAGAAGCAAAAGAAATGGAGGGTTTGGGATCTTGAATTTGAAGCTCTGATGAGAATGCTGGATAATGCAGTAAGTATATTTGTTTATGCATATGCTATTTAATTATTAATTAGAAGACAGGGTTGCCACAGACTACTAAAATGCGACTATTTGCTACTATTTTCAGACTATGGCGACTTTTTTTTGCCTGAAAAGACTAAAAAAGCAACTATTTTCAGGAATATGCGACTATTGGGAGACTTTTTTACTCTTAGCGAAGTTTTTTCGCAAAAATGAACATTACTTTTCAGTCCACTCGCTAACATTTACGTATAGTGCCGCCTACCATGTGCATCAGAAATCTGATTAAAGCCGTCGGTATAAGACTACAATAGCGGTTTAACGATTTAATATGCAAGGATCCTTGACTACGCTAACGCTGTTACAGCTCTGATGAAGACGATTTTGATTTCATCTAGCTGCAGAGATGTAGATAGCGTTTAACTATAAAGACGCTAATAGTTTCGTGATGTTGAATGACGAAGAGTGAATTGAATCAGAACTCCCGGTTTCGTGCGAGGATCAGCGATGTCATTTAGAACATTTTTGTCTTTGGGATTTTGCGTTTTTTGAAGATTATTTTCAATGGGATTTAAGTCATTTTGCGATCGTTGGAAATAATTGCCGGGTTTCTCGTAAATTATTTTCAGCGAGACTTTTGCTACTTAGCAATCGTTTTGCATTATTTCATACCATTTTTTTTCTATCTGGATTTAACGATTCTTGTCAGTTATTTTTAGTAGACCTACTGTTACTTTGCGATTGCTGCACAATCGCTGTTATTTTAAATTTTCGTTCTGAACTCAGTTGATCAATGAAAAGAAAATAAATAAAAAAAAGATTCTCCATTAATTTTTTTCAATTATTGTTTTTCATTTTAAGCGTTTTTGTTCCTGTTCAGGCAACTATTTTTTATACTTTTAGGCAACTATTTTCCTGCTTGAGGCTACTAAAAGCAACTATTTTTGTTCATTTTTTACTGTGGTAACCCTGAGAAGATGATACAATGATACGTATCAGAATTTATATATTTATTTTAAATGTCTGATTTATTTGAAACACCGTTCAATGCTTAAGGTTTAAGCAGTTTTGTAATGAGTTTCTTTAATCAAACGGAAAATCTTATTTTTAAATGTTACTACTTAGGCTTATATTATTGCTGCTTTATTTTTTAAAACCTGATTTCTGACAGAATTATTATTTGAAAATGTTGAGTTAAAATAAAACTTAAAAGGTTGGATAAATTTTCTATTTTTCTAGCTAAGTTTTAAATAATGAGGTTATGCAAAAAGATGGTCCCAATTTGATTTTTATTTCACAAAATATAAATTAGACATGAACAGTTCGTATACTAATATAAGAGTTCGAAGTTTTTCATACAACTTTGGTGGAGATAACTTGGGGTTGATAATGCTAATATGCAGGTGTTTCATTTCACTATTGGTTGTGAGCAAGGATGCCTACTGTTCTGCTCTTAACAAAATTTTTTTTATAGTAGTGAAGAACTAAGGACTAAAACTTTGAAATGTTTTGTAATTTTACCATTAATTTAAAAGGTACACCTGAAATGACAGAAAGAATGGCATTTTATATGAAATTTTGAATTTATATAAAGTGATGGACAAAATAACAAATCAATTTGTAAAATAACATAATATCAATGCTAAAGTTCATAAATGAGAAGTTTTGTAACCACTGCATCAAATTTTCTTTAAGCAGAGTAAGTTTGCATCTGGTTGTGTTTAAGAGGGTTTCTATCAAGTTTGATGTTTTTAGTATTTCGGACTAGTATTCCGACACCTAATCTTACTCTGTGATCTTCTCTTGCAAGGCTTTATTAAAGAGATTGTTTATGTCCATCTTTCAAAAACTCCCGGTCCCACAGTGGACTGAATGTAAAGACACTGTTCCCAGTAGGACACTGAAGTAAAACATCACTGGCAGTGTTCAGTAAGCGGGTAGGTGACCACTGTGATCAGCCTGCGTAGGGACCGAGGGTGTGCATTAAACTGTTCTACCATAAAGTACTAAACTTCGCTCGCAGGTCGTTTGGCTACTAAAGCAGAAAGCCCTTCTAAAGAAGATCAAACTTGTGATTGGCATGTCTTCGGATCATCCTCAGGGATGTTTCCTAGAATGTTGCCAATAGTCCATTGTGCAGCTCTAGTGCGACGTAAATAAATTACCTAACTACCTAATGGAATTGTACTACTGCGGGGGTGTATTCACTTTTACAAGACTTGCTTTTTTAGGCCAATTTTTTTAAAAAAAAAATTATACAGTGGAACCCCGTTTTTACGTTGTCCGTTTCGTATGTTATCCCGCTTCTTACGTCATTTTCTGCTGATCTGTGAAAATTGCCTGTACCGATAATGTTAAAATATCCCGGATTTTGCGTTACCCCTTTTATGGAAATCCCGCTTGATATGTTTTTCTACCAACAGATCAAATTAATATTTTATATTCTACAACTCTCACACAAACTTTTTTCTAGTTTTTTGAACAAGAAAAACTTGCTTTTCAGCTGTATGGAGCAATTCTTGCATTCTTTCTGTTCTATTTGTCAATAGGGGGTGGGTGACAAGCATAAAAACTACAAAGCATAAAGACTCTAAAACAATTTTTACTTGCAAATGTAAATCAAGAAGAAAATTTGCAAAAAATAGTTAGTATTGAACGAGTTGTAGATGAAATTGTAGCTAAAAACAGAGAGGAAGTGAAGATTACTAATCTTTTCCATTAATTTAACTGGTAGGTGTAAATTTTTAGAAATATATGCATAGATTTTTCTTAATCTCGATTTTACGTTATTCCGCTTCGACCGTTTTTTATCGCTTGTCCGATCGAAAACGTAAAATCGGGGTTTCACTGTATTTATAATATATATTTTACAATTTGTGAATCTTTTTATTCTTATATTTTTGAGTTTACCGAAACCCTGCAACTTAATTTTGTAGGGCTTTAGAACTGGGTATACCTTCAAACAACCTATGATTCGTACTGATCAAGTAAGGCTGAAGAACGATGTTGAAGTACCTCCTGCAGCTTCATCATATTCTCAGTATTATGGAGAGGATAAATGGTTAAGGTAATAATTTTATATATTGATCATTTATTAATCATCAAACTAGTATTGAATTAAGAGTTTGATTTGATAAAATAAAATTTTTTAAAATATGTAATGCATTAGTTTGTAATTAGTTATTTTTAATTATTTTTAATTATTAGTCTCCTACATGTTTTATTTTTGTAAAAGGTGTTAACTTATTTTTGATTTGAATCCTTTTCGATTTGAATCTTTTTTTTATTTGTTAGTAATTGTTTTTGCTGTTATAATCTATATTTTTTTTATTTTTATAAATTTTTAAAATTTATAAATTTTGAAAATATTATAAAAATTATTTTTATAAAAGTATATATATTTTTTATTTTTATAAATATTATTTTTAAAAAATATATATTTTTATTTTTTATTTTTATAAATTTTTATCTTTTAAAATAATTTTTTAAAATTTTTATTATTATTTTATGAACCATTTTTCGCAATTGTAAAAATGTTGCATAACATTTTGTAAAACATTGATGATTTTTGATCATGTAACTTTATGAAATAAATAAGTTTAAATATTAATTAGTGGAACCCCGATTTTACGTTTTCTGCCGGACTAGTGTTGAAAAAGTGGATGAAGCTGGAAAAACGTAAAATCAGGGCGTGAAAAAAATTAAAGCATATTTTTTAAAAATTGCCCTTACGAGATGACTTTTGGAAAAAAATGTGTAATCTTTAATTGTTTTTAGATACTATTTCAACAATATCACTCTCAATACTTACTATTATTTGCAAATTTGATTTTTATTTGCAAATAAATATTGCTTAAAAGTTTTTATGCTTTGGAACTCTTGATCAGTTGTTGATATATCGTCAGATATTTTTTATTTAAATCATCGTTTTCATCTCTATCAATGGAAGCAAGCATTAAATCAAATATTTAAAAAATTGATAAGTAATGGGGATGTTGCAGTGGATATACATATCATTGACTTCGGAAGATCTTCAGCCACACAATTTATTCTAAAGGGCTAATGTTCTCCTTGTGTACAGAGAAGCCTGTCTTATTAAAGCCATTTGAAATGCATATCAGTCGACACTGTAGAATGCTGTAGAAGTCAAATTCAGGGCTTCCAGAATAGTTATTTTTGAATTCGAAGTATCTTACAAGTCTGTCAACAGAATCAAGTAAAGGGATTACCTAATCAGTTTTTTAGTGTAACATTCTTTAAATGATTGGGATATTCCAAGATCCAGAGATTGAAGTTAGCTGGAAAAAAATTCCAGTTGCAAATTTTACGATTTAAGCTCCCATACTTCCTTTATCCCGGTGCTTTGCACATTCCACCGTCTTCTGATTTTGATTCAAGTGGAAAATACCCTGTCATTGACAAATGGATAATAAGATAGATTGGAAAAAAAATGTCACACCAGCTGCAAACAACTAATAAATAAGCCTCTTAAAAAAGAAAGAAAAAGAATTTGGAAACGGTTTGTTCAAGCTTCATTGAGAAAGTTATTTTACAGAAAAATATATAAAGCAGGATTTTCTTAATGTGCCACGTAAAATCCGGGATAATTTAACATTATCACTATAGGCAATTTTCATATTCTATATGTATTATTATCTGTATATATTTTTTGTACTTCTTCGAAAAAGCTTATGTATTTACCAATATTATTCTTTGGTACTTGTGGAAAATCCCATTGACCAGGAAAGTTGGTGTAAGTTCTGTCAAATTGACGCTAATTTTTTTCATATAGTAACCAGTGCATATTTAATGAGAATTAAAAGATGAATTAAAAAATAATTTCCTAAATAATATTCTTTTATTTGCAAAAGATTTTATTTCAAGGAAGACTACCATTTTTTGGTTTGGACAAAAATAGTCAATAAGACTTTACACATGCACCAATTTATTGGTTTTGTACTATAAATTTTAAATTGAACTATGTAATTATTACTCTAAGTATTAATTAGAATTTTTTCTCTAGTCCTCTGAAGAAGCTTGTGGAAGGTCGTAAAACCCAAGACAAACTTCGCTGGGTTAATTCTCCCAACGTATACCAAAAAGTGGAAGTTCTTGAAACTGGAACTCCTGATCCAAAGAAAATCACTAAGGTACAAGCTTAGTTTCTCAGTTATTGGTATTTGTGCTCCAGCCAGCATATGCAAATGTGTGGATAGTTATGCTGTATGCACAATTAACACTGGTCTCTTTTAAGAGGTGCCNTTTATCCCTTCAGTGGGTCGATAAATGAGTACCAAGCATGCTTGGGAACTGAACACTGGGAGTTTTGCATTTGGCTGACCACCTAACCGGAACATCTGCTCCTGCACCCCAGAGCCCAAGGTCAAGAAAACTGAGATGGGCACAGTAGGCCTTGGCCCTCTATGGAGTTTAGTTTAGTTTTTTTAGCTCTGTGCGTGATGCTAATACAATTGTTTCTTAAATGTTGCAAGGCTCTTTCACCATTTAATGGCCTATCAAAATTTTGATTTACTATTACTTAACTATTAACTTCTATTTTCACTGAAAATTCCCTCTACGCCCAGAAGCAGAATATTTTCAAATGTTCTGCAACAGGACTTATTAATTTAAACAAATGTTCTGCAAGCATTACACAGCGAAAAAAACCCAACTTTATGTTAAAATACTATACTTTCATTTATTAAATTATAGGATCATACACAGATGCACTACATTATTTTTTAAACCAAGGCAAACATTCTTGATTTGCTACTTTTTCAATCACTTTTGAAGAAAAAAATTTTGTTAATGAGAATGATGATGAATTATTAATAAAATGCCTATGATATGAAGGTCCAAACATTAAAATAAGGGCTGCCTTAAAAATTTTTCGAAGGGACAAGTGCCCAGATAGTGCACCATTTGCAAACACAGACATTCGTTGGTCTGTTGTTCCAACAACTTCTTCCTCTCCATCAAAAGCATTTGGTCTTTTAGAAACAATTCTGTCAATCGTGGATCCCCACGATGCACAAATTGCTTCTGAAATGGTAATAGAAAATACTAAAAGTCATGAACTTTATAAAATTTGAAATCTCTGAATTTAGTTTTGCTTGCTTTAGAAGCTCTCTTGATAAAAGTGGTTACAGAAGTATTCAGGATACAAATTGTTCTGCAGGACTGCGACGTACGTTTGTTCTGCGACGTACGTCACAGTTTTAGGCACTTTCTGCTTCTGGGCCTCTACGTTTTCGATTTGACATAAGTATTTTTTCTATTTTTTTAGGTCAGTACAGAAAACTAATTTTAAAATTTTTTTTTTTTTTTTTTTTTTTTTTTTTTTGAGANTTTGTTAATCGCTTGCACACTAGATATATATTGAGAAATCTGCTTATTTGTGAAACATCAAGAGGATAAAATCAATAACTTCTGTTAATATACAGTGACAGATCACCAGGAGTTTTATCATATTTTTGTGATATTGAGTAATATTTTTATTTGATAATGATAAATATTTTTACTTTCTAGATTTTAATTTTGAGAAATAGGGGCATTTTAATTTGTGGAGAATCCATAGAAGAAGCAGTCTTTATGTTGCATAAGTGTGTTGCAGCTTGTGAAACACAGGTATGGACTTGTTCTAGAAATATTAATTTAGTTTCTTTTTGTTAGCTATCTTTTTAATTATAAAAATTTTATAAACTTTATAAATTATGAAACAAATATTTATCATAAATATTATCTTGAACGGACATGCAATTCCTAGTTTTAAGTAAACAAGTTTTTTTTTTAAGATTTGTAAAGTTATTTTATCGATAATAAATTCTAAGAAAGTCAACAAGAAAGTCAAATATTTGAAATAACTATGTATTTTTTTTGCTTTAAGAAAACAAAGTAAATGTGGAATGAAAATGGGATTTTTATCTACATAGTTTTCTTTAATGAAAGTTGCATTTGTGCAACAATTTATTTACATAACAATCAACAGAAAGTGGAAAAAAATTATTTAACGAACATGCATCTTTCATATTTTTTGACTAACTATAATTCTTGTTATTTTTTTGTACTCTTGTTATGTATACTTTACAGCAGGGGTGTCAATCTCGCGGCCCGAGGCGAACATTTTTGCGGCCCAGTCAATATATTCGATGCAAAGTAAAAATGAAATAGAAATGTTAATTAGAAGGGAAACTAGCATATAAAATTATAATATACTTTATTTATAAACTATACAGATCATTTTAAATTGTACGTGCGAAAATGTAAAATTCTAATTGGCTTGCGGCACCTGCCATTCCAGGGATACTGCATCGTATCAAAAATACGCAGAAATAATTTCAAATCTTAGAACAGAATTTGAAACAGGGTTTAAAGATTTTAATTCTTTGGAAGACAAATTTTGTTTGCTTTCTTCGATTTTCTCAATAAATATAGACTCAGTATCCAATAATATGGAAGTGATTGAGATTCAGTGCAACTCAAATTTGAAGGCAAAATTCATTGAAGTGAGTGTGCCTGAATTTTGCAAATATTTACCTGCTAGGTTTGAAAATACTCGAAAATTCGCATATGAAATTATTTCCATGTTTAGAAGTACTTATCAGTGCGAGCAATTATTTTCTGTTATGAATAGAAATAAATCTCCTGTCCGAAACCGTACTAATAACGCTCACGTTGGGTCATCTTTGAAAGTAGTCTCGGCCAATAAAATTTCTCCCGAAATTGGAACGATAGTAGCAGATAAGAGATGTCAAATATTATTAAGGTTCTCAATCTTATTGATCCAGTGGGTTTCCCGTGGATAGTGTTTTAAAAAAAAAACATCATCGCTTGTCAATAATATGTGTTATCTCTTTTATAAAAGAAATATGATATGAGTACATGACCATCGGATCTCAAAATTATGTTGGGTGATTGTGGTTTAACACTATCGCTTATGTCACTGACCATTCGGCCTTCAGGGATTTTCTCTGGTTAATTCTATTCATGCATATTATTGATATCCTTTTTTTAATCTAATTAGTACATGTATATGTATAGATATTATCGAATATATGTATATGCATATTTATACACTTCTCTGGATCAATAGTTTTGAGCGAAATGGCATACTCTTCTTTTTTTTATTCATGATGTAATGACATTTACTTTGCCACCCAATACAGTTAAGTAACCTTGCTACAGGTCTCATTTTATCTCGTAATTTTTATGTACTTACCATTTAATTTCTCCTAAGCCGGTGTCATAACTTAGGGGCACCAAAAAAACTACGGTACACATATATTTATCAATCTTAGAGAAAATGTTTACAAGAGTTTTAAAAGTATTATTCTCGGATAGATGAGGATCTTTGATGCATCTTTAAGTGAGTAGTGGGATATACTTATTTATTTACTTACATATGAATACAAATAGTTAATCTTTTTTCAATTTTAAAAACAGATAACTCAAGTTTAAGAGAGACATCAGTAAAATACATCCCGTGTTATAGAGGGATTTGATCCCACAACATCCACGCTCCACAGCGGTTATTAGAANCCTGGAGGTGATGAAGATAAAGAGAAAGCAGAGCCAAAAGAGAAGCAAAAGAAATGGAGGGTTTGGGATCTTGAATTTGAAGCTCTGATGAGAATGCTGGATAATGCTGTAAGTATATTTATTTATTCATATGCTATTTAATTATTTATTAGAAGATGATGAACTGATATGTATCAGAATTTATATATTTATTTTAAATGTTTGATTTATTTGAAACACCGTTCATTTCGTAAGGTTTAAGCAGTTGTTTTGTAATGAGTTTCTTTAATCAAACGGAAAATCTTATTTTTAAATATTACTACTTAAGCTTATTTTATTGCTGCTTTATTTTTTAAAGCCTGATTTCTGACTGAATTATTATTTGAAAATGTTAAATTAAAATATAACTTAAAAGGTTGGATAAATTTTCTATTTTTCTAGCTAAGTTTTAAATAATGAGGTTATGCAAAAAGATGCTCCCAATTTAACTTTTATTTCACAAAATATAAATTAGACATGAACAGTCCATATACTTACATAAGAGGAATGTTCAAAGTTTTTCTTACAACAACTTTGGTGGAGATAACTTACTTGAGTATTCTAATATGCAGGTGTTTCATTTCACCATCGGTTGTGAGCAGGGATGCCTACTGTTCTGCTTTCAGCAAAATTTTTTTAAAGTAGTGAAGAACTGAAACTTCGAAATTTTTTGTAATTTTACCATTAATTTAAAAGGCACACCTGAAATGACAAAAAGAATGAAATTTTGAATTTATGTAAAGTGATGAGCAAAATAACATAAAATCAATTTGCAAAATAACATAAAATCAATGCTATAGTTCATATTTGAGAAGTTTTGCAACCACTGTATCAAATTTTCTTTAAGCAGAGTAAGTTGGCATCTGGCTGTGTTTAAGAGGGTTTCGATCAAGTTTGAAGTTTTTAGTCAGTCGTAGTATTCTGAGACCTAATCTTACTCTGTGATCTTTTCTTGCAAGGCTTTATTAAAGAGATTGATTGTTTTTGTCCATCTTCTTTCAAAAACTCCCGGTCCTGCAGTAGACTGATTGTTAAGACACTTTCCCCAGTAGAACACTGAAGTCAGGCATCACTGGCAGTGGTCAGTAAACGGGTAGGTGACCACTTTGATCAGCCTGCGTAGGGACCCAGGGTGAGCTGTATCAGTTGTTGTTAAACTGCTATACCATAACGTACTTAACTTAGCTCGCAGGTCGTCTGGCTACCAAAGCAGGAAAGCCATCCTTTCTCCCCTGGAACTGTACCATTGCAGGGGTGTACTCAGTAATACAAGACTTGCTTTTTTGCATGTATGTGGGACAAGTTTGGCTGCTGCTTAGATATTTACTATGTAGAAAAAGGGAGAATACTTGGAGCATTTATGAGCTGTGTTCAAAAAAAAAAAAAAAAGAAAAAAAAAAACTTATTGAAGTTCATTTTATACTTTAGTACAAATTTATTTATGCCCATTTTTTTTTTAAAAATTATCTTTATAATATATATTTTATAATTTGTAAATCTTTTTAGTCTTATATTTTTGAGTTTACCTAAACTCTTCAACTTAATTTTATAGGGCTTTAGAACTGGGTATACCTTCAAACAACCTATGATTCGTACTGATCAAGTAAGGCTGAAGAACGATGTTGAAGTACCTCCTGCAGCTTCATCATATTCTCAGTATTATGGAGAGGATAAATGGTTAAGGTAATAATTTTATATTCTGATTATTTATTAATCTAGTTTTATTTTTTTTATTATTTTTATTTTTATAAATTAATATAATTCAAACTGAACCATCTTTCCCAATTGTAAAAATGTTGCATAACATCTTGTAAAACATATACTTCATTGATGATTTTTGACTGTGTAGCTTTATTAAATAAATAAGTTTAAATATTAATTATATACAGTGGAACCACGATTTTAAAATGTCTGACGGACTAGTGTTATAAAAATGTATGAAGCTGGAAAAACCTAATATCTAGGAGTGAAAAAATGTAAGCATATTTTTTAAAACTTGCCCTTACGAGATGACTTTTGGAAAAAAATGTGGAATCTTTAATTATTTTTAGATACAATTTCAACAATATCCCTCTCAATATTTTCTATTGTTTGCAAATTTGGTTTTTATTTGCAAATGAATATTGTTTCAGAGTTTTTATGCTTTGCTATTCTTGATTGGTTGTTGATATATCATTAGATATTTTTTATTCATAATCATAGTTTTTATCTCTATCAACGGATGCATTAAATCAAATATTGAAGAAATTGAAAAGGAATTTGGATGTAGTGGATATATACGGATCATTTCTACTTCAGAAGATCTTCAGCCACACAATTTTATTCTGAAGGGCTAATGTTCCCGTTATGTACCTAGAAGCCTGCCTTATTAAAGCCATTGTAAATGCATTTCAGTCGACGCTGTACAATGCTGTAGAAATCAAATTCAGAGCTCCCAGAAGTTATTTTTGAATTAGAAGCAACTCACAAGGCAACAGAATCAAGTTGAAGGATTACCTAATCAGTTTTTTAGTGTAATGTTCTTTAAATGATTGGGCTATTCCAAGATCCAAAGGTTGAAGTTAACTGAAAAAAAATTCCAGTCTCAAATTTTACAATTTAAGCTCCCATACTTCCTTTAGCTCCCATTCCGGTGCTTTGCACATCCCGCCATCTTTCTGATTTTGATTCAAATGGAAAATCCCCTGCCATCGACAAGTGGATAATAAGATAGATTAGAAAGGATGTCACACTACCTGCGAACAACAAATAAATAAGTCTATTTTTTAAAAAAAGAGAAAGAATTTGGAAAAGGTTTGTTCAAGCTTTATAGAGATTTTACACAAAGGAAAAATTTTATTAAAGTTATTTAGATCAAGTTATTTTACAGAAAAATGTATAAAGCAGGATTTTCTTTAAGTGCAATATGTAATCTGGGATCATTTAACATCATCACTATAGGCATAAATGTTTTTACTATTGCATATTCTATCTGTATTATTATCTGTATATATTTTTTGTAGTTCTTCGAAAAAGCTTATGTATTTTCCAATATGATTCATTAGTACTTGTGAAAAATCCCATTGACCAGGAAAGTTGGCGCAAGTTCTTGCAAATTGATGCTAAATTGTTTCGTATCATAACCATTGCATATTTAATGAGAATTAAAAGATTATTTTGAAAATAATGTTCTTTTATTTGCAAAAATTTTAATTTCAAGGAAGGCTACCATTTTTTGGTCTTGGCAAAAATAGTCAGTAGGATTTTACATATGCACCAATTTATTGATGGTTTTTCACTATAAATTTTAAATTGAACTATGTCAGTGTTTCCCAAAGTGTGGTACGCGTACCCCCGGGGGTACAGGAACAGTTTAGCGGTGGTGCGCGTTCTTATGTGAAATATCTTGCAACAAACGAAAATTTCAAAAAGAATTATTTAAAAACGGAGCTAGCCGTGAAATTTTAAGATTACATATTTTTCTATTGGCTATTTTTTGCAGAGTTAACAGTTAATAATTACAGTTAATATGTCAACAGAGAGTTGTGATTTTTAATTTTTGTGCAATTTTTTTTAATAGTAAAAAATACATAAATTTTTCTATTAGTGGTACACAGCATTACGAAAAATTTAGAAAGGGTATACAAAAGCCAGAAGTTTGGGAAGCACTGAACTATGTAGTTATTACTCTTAAGTATTAATTCTAGAATTTTTTTCTAGTCCTCTGAAGAAGCTTGTGGAAGGTCGTAAAACCCAAGACAAACTTCGCTGGGTTAATTCTCCCAACGTATACCAAAAAGTGGAAGTTCTTGAAACTGGAACTCCTGATCCAAAGAAAATCACTAAGGTACAAGCTTAGTTTCTCAGTTATTGGTATTTGTGCTCCAGCCAGCATATGCAAATGTGTGGATAGTTATGCTGTATGCACAATTAACACTGGTCTCTTTTAAGAGGTGCCAATTGTATGTGTGCACTGTGAATATATATATATTTTCATTGCACCTAAGCAGTTATTGAATAAAACTTTAAATATCAGCAATTTTTGTAGATCTGAGGTAAATGTTTAAATATTTGCAATGCATAATTTGTTATTAGTTTTTTGTTGCATTTTATTTTAAAAATGAAGAAATTTGCCTGAATGTCATGAGGGAATTCGAATACTTCATAAGCCTCGGAAATTTATTCTATTAAAGAAGAAGTATTTCGTGTTGTATTGCTTGACTATGGAAAAAAAAAGCATTTGATTTATTATATAATAGCTTTATAGATCTTGTTTTTGATGATCTTTTCAGTTTGGGGGAAAAATAGCCCTGTGAAACATGATGTGTTTGTAGTGAAAATTACTTATTCAAATAATATTTACAGTAAGAGTTTTTTTCTTTCTTTTTACAAAAATATAGCTTTAGGTCTCCCCATCTAGATCTTATCTGTGGTGGTTCAACTCTGTTCGCCCAAGCAGTACAGCTTAAACAGTGATTATGATAAATTTTTTGCTTAATGTGATTAACATATTTTAATAAAAATCACTAATTATTTCCACCCTTAATTTAGTAGCAATAAATAAAAATGCCTAAAAATCAATATTACTTAATTTGTCAGTTTTATGATCAAAACTATTTAAAATCGTTATGCTTCGAAAGTTGTTTTTAAATTAGAATCTAAAAATGGTATTGCACAGTTGTGTATAAATTACTTACAAGTGTTTTGTGGCAGAACATATATTTCACTTTCTGTGTTTTAAATGTGTGATTGTAGATGTGACAAGCATTGACATGTTTTGCTACCTAAGTCTTGGGTAATAAATCTTAATTTTTTCCTTAAAAAGAAAAGAAAATTTTTTGTTGTAAAATTGGGTTGATAGTTAGTTAGCTTAATAGTTTTAATAAATCTACAATGGATTTAAAAGAGTCAATTTTAGTCAAATATTTAAGACTTGATTATTTGAATCCTTTAAAATTTTTGTAAATATATTTATTTTTTAGAACCTGCATTTCAAATTACATAAAATATGACCTCAACAGTAATTTTGGATGGTCATATTTTATAATGGCTAGATCTGAATGGGTTTATCTTTTTGAAAAGATTTTTTTTTTTATAGTTTTTGTTGTATTTTAAAAACATAAACATAAATTTGTACCTCAGAACTCTGTTTCAGGAATCAGTTTTCCAGTGCTGCATTTTTTTTCTCTGTGTCATGATTTATAGCTTTATTTTAGTTTAGTGGGAGATGTGTTATGCCAGTAGTAAAAGCAGTTCCTTTTTTTTCTGTGTTTATATGATTGTAATCACCCCCCAAAAAATGGCTTTGCTAGTTTGTGAAGTTAATGAGAAACCTACATTTAATTGTTTAACTGTATAATGTCTTGTGAAACAATTCTGATCATATGATATATATTACTACATTATAGAAATATCTTTAAATAATATTATAAGTACATAATAATCTAAGTACATAATTGTCACTAAGTGACTTCATATAGGAATATTTAGTACCCTAATTTTATATTTACCACATTACTTAAGGAAACTTATTGGTCTAATTGACTAATGTGCCCTTCATCTTATAATGCTCTAATATTAGTTTACTAATTTCCTATTGCAAGTTGTGGATTATTTCAACTAAAGGTTTTTATGCAGAGTTTTCCAAATGGTTATAGTAATTCACTTATAATTCTAATATAGGAACTTTTACTGCTCTTAATTTATATTAATATAAGGAATTATCTTTGACTAATTGAATACTGTGTCCTTCACATCTTCATAATCTAAGTTTAGTCTACATATTCTATACTGCAAATCGTAGACTATTGCAACTAGAAGATTTTATACAATACATTTCAAATGATTGTAGTAATTTTCATATAACTATCTCACTGTCACTTGTCATTTAATGTTTAAAATGTACAATTTGACTTTCATATAATTTTTACGATAATAATGCAGACTGGTAGTATAATATTGCAATTGCCTGGTTCTCAACTTTTCTAGAATAAAATAGCATAAAATTAAACTTACCATTTAGATTACTTCTATTTAGGAAATTGCATATTTCAGTGTGTAATATTTATAAAAATACTGGAATTGGCTCTTAATGACTTAAATATATATGTATTTTTTTATTAAAATATTTCTACATTTAAAGAAAGTTTTTCTTCTAACTGTTGAAAAAAAAATGAAACAAGTTTTTTTTTTTAATTATGAAGATTAACGATTTTCAATTATAAGTAAAAATTGGGATCATTTAAAGTAATTCCCATTCCATTTTTCGTACTTTTAAAATTTTTTTTCTTCTTAAGGTTGTGTAATTCATATTCTTAGAGTTATGCTCATTTTTCATATTGTTGCTAATTGAATCTAGTGATATTTTTTATTGTTTCATATTCATTTTTTTAGTTATAAGCTTTAATAGTCATTGCTGTATTCCATTTTTTATTGTCATTCTACACTTTCTCTAACAGTTCCTTATTGTAAAATTTCATGTATATGCATTTATTAATGCTCATTTTCTCACCAGTTTGTATTAAAAAATGCATTTATGTAACAATTGTTAGTGTGTATTGAGATATTCGTCAGTGTGCTGATTGGTATTTTTTAATCAATGTTGGTTTTTATTTAAAATAAACCATTAAAAACTATTAGAATTCTTATCAGTTTTTTTAAAAAAGTTATTTGCCATTTCTTATAGTCCCAAATAAAATTTTAGTTTTTGATAAATTTTTTTACGGAATCAATTTTTTAACTGATGAAATTTATAGCCTTCCTTTTTTAACAACTTGGTAGAAAAATATATTTTTCACTGCCAATTTTATTGCATCATGTATTAGTACTTGCTATGCATTATGTAATGTGCAATAATATGCATTTATTAATGCTATGTGGTTTATGCACGCAGTATCATAAAAAACCAAGGTTAAATTATAAACTGTTCATGCTATATGCAAATATTATGTGTTTAAGAGTTGTTAATGAAGCAATATTTTAAATTAATATTTTTAATACGACTTTTTCTTTTGTTTTTAACTACATTCATAAGGTAACAGATCAGAACATGTTTTTAAGTACTAAAAAGAAATTGTGATACCTTTCTTTTATTATCTTCATTTTTGATTAGGTGAGATTTCTAATTGATAGGTAGTATTTTTGGTTTTGTGAAACTTGAATGAAAATTATTTTTGTTATTTTTAAATAGTATATTGCATATTTATGAATTCCTGTAAATATTTACTATATTAAATAGATTAATTATAATTTTGGCTTTGTAATAATTTTAGTATTTGTTGATTTTACTTATACTATGGTAGGTGAGTTTAATAGTTTAAAAAAAAGAGTATTTTTCCCAAAATTTATCATTGTTTATTTATGAAGAATATACCATATATTTTTATATTGTTATTAAGTTAAAATATAAACAAATATAAACATTATATGTATATTTTGGCTCATTCAACTAAATTAAGTGTTGTATATGCAAATGCATTGTTCATAAATTCTGCTCAATATTAATGTTTTTGTCAATTCAATATGTGTTTGGAATATATGTAATGTAGAACAATAATAGAATATGTAGTCTTATGACATTTGGTATAGCAGTATTAGCTTTATTTTGTATTTCGAAGCTTTGTTTTTAAAAAATATCATCAGTGTAGCTTGAATAAAGTATTTGCTTTAAAACAATTCAAATATTTGTGTTTTATGTTTTTTAATTGCATATCTTGTTAAAAATTTTTGTTTCTAAAATGTTATTGTCTGGAATTTGGAATGAGTTTATGGGAGAAATGTAAGTTATGGTTAATTATAAGACTTGCGTATTCAATTATTACGATTGGAAAGGTGTTTATTAAAAGTGGTTTAGAAGGTTTAGCGTGCTGGAGCATTTAATACAATAACTTTATTATTTTCTGTACCCACCTGTATGTTTTGTTCTTTTCTTTTATGCTTTTCACTTATTTGCCATTTCTGTTTATTTTATTTGACTTTAAATTTTTTTCATTCTGTTTTATTACTTCAGGTTTTCTGCCGCCTTGTCTATTAATTTTTATCTCAAATTCTATTTTTTGTTCAATTTCAAGCTTAATCAGTTTAAATTTTTTTTATTGTGTTAAATTATTTTCTCTCTCAGCTTCTTTTGAAATTTTATTATCATTTAAATTTACAAATTCTATGCAAACAATTATAAATGTGCAATTTAAGAATAATATTTTGCTTTACATGTTGAATTCATATTGTGCAATGTAATGTTTATGATATATTTTAAGAAATATACCTTTCTATAAATCTTTTAAAATTTAAATTGTGTGAGCAATAAATTTTGTGTATGTTATGTTTATTGGAATTTTTTGGCAGAAAACCTTCTAACTTTGTATTACCTTGCATTCTTTTGCTTTTTTTTTTATGTTTGAACTTTTCTTTTGACATTTTCCCTTTTCTTTCTTTTTCCTACAGTGGGTACAGGAAGGGTCTCCGTCACACAGCACATCAATCAAAATTCAATCTTCTCATCAGTTCATTCCTATTACTAATGACCTTGGAGAATTTAAGCGAAAGCAGAAAGAGGTCAGTTATAACCTCATTACTTCTTTTATTTTCTGCTATAGGACTTCTCTAATTAAGGTGTATTACCACATCCTTAGATCAAATACCAATTTACGGTTTTGAGATAATGCACTTTTAAGCTTTGAACTTACATGAAAGTAATAGGAATGTTTTTTAAGATTTTCTTTATTGGCTCATCGCTTGTGAATATAGTGCAAAAATCTGAAAATTGTAAAGTTTGGTCTAATGATGAACAACACCTTCTGATTATAGTTATGAATTTAAATTTTAAATTTAATATTTCATTCCATAAAGTAGTTTAAAAAAATGTTAATACATGCTTAAAAGTTCAGCATGTTTTAAAAAGTCTTCTCAAGTATAGGTACAATATAGTTTTGGTATTTAGTAGACAATTCTTTTTACAAAAATCAATTTAAAGTGATAAAATTAATTTTAAAACAAATTAAATTAAATGTATAAAGAAAAAAAAACCCTACTTTAAAATGTTTTCCAGGAATAAACAGTATATTAAATTTGAATTAAGAATGTTGAAATTTTCTACATCTGTGTTGTGGGGGAATAATTGTTTCATTTTTATCTAATTTTTTTTAATAACTCATGCAATAAAGGAACAAATAAAATATCAAATATTCTTTATTAATTATTACATTATCACTTAAGACAACTTAAATGAAAAGTTCATTTTTAGGAAAATAATTCTTTTTAATGTCAGTGTTTCTTAGGCTCTGGTACATACAACAGAATGAATTTGAAGGAAACATGTTTAATGACATTTTCAACTTAATGAAATTTTAGGGTTCCAGCTACAGTTATAGATGTTGTGTAGGCTTACAAAGTATATTTTTGTTCAATTTCAAGCTAATTAGTTTAAAAAACTTTTATTGTGTTAAATTATTTTCTTTTCTAAGCTTCTTTTAAAACTTATTTAAACATTAGTTAACATTTTAGTTAACATTTTGCCATTTTTTAGTTAATGTTTAGCTAACATTAGTTAACATTTTGCCTATGGTGCCAGATAGCACCTAGTATTCTGGAGCATCAGTTGCACCAGCTGTAAGTAAAAGGTTACGTATAATGCTGCAAAGCTCCATGGTATAGCTGGTGGAAAAAGCATCAGAGACAATTTTGCTTTTTTTAAAAATACTTTTACCAATAAGTGGAAACAATTTAGCATGCCTAGTTAATTGTGAATAATTTAAAATCAGAATCAGCTAACTTAAACTCCATGTTTGTGATTTTTTAAAATGAAATGAAAAAAGAAAATCCTTATTGGATTTCAAATTAGATTTTTTTAAAATACTCTGAGAACTTGAGTTTTTAAATTTTATAAATATAATTATAATTGGAGCATTATATATATCGAAATCAAATCACAAAAATATATTTGAAACTGTATTGCTACTTTAAAATTGTTATATGTATATACAATACATATATACAGTACAAAAGAAAAAAATCACTCTGAATAACTTCTGATTTAATAATCTAATTTTCATCTACTCGGACTTAATCTTAATGGTTCGAGGGGATGACCTCAAATATGCTAATTAATTAGGGAAGACGATATTTTAAGTTACGAAATCAGACTCAAAAGTGTATTTTATCTGAATATATATGCTAATATATTAGCATTTTTTTGACAAATTTAGATTTCAGACCTTCAGAATAAAGGGAGTAGCCGCAATTTGGGAAATATGTTCCCAATAGTTTGGACAGGAGAGCCGTTGAAAGTGAGGACCCCTTAATCTTAGTTTTACATTTTGTGTGTTTTGTAATATCTCAAGAATTTTTTTTAAAGAGAATCTAAAATCTTTTGCTTACAATTATTAAATTCGTTTATCTGAAGGTAATTCACTCCAAGAAGTAATTTTTAACCCTTATTTATTATCATTTGTTATTAAATAAAATAGTTACTAAATAAAATATAGTAAAGTGATAAATATTTAAAATTGTTTTTTTGCTGGAATTATCTTTAGCTAAATGATTTTTATAATTGTATTCAAAAATTTTCGGTTTGTTTAAAAAGTTAGAGATATGGATACACAAGAAGTAAAATTAACATTAAACTGTCCAATCTTTTAACTGATCGCTCTTCTGGTCAAACTATTTTGACCATATTTCCTAGATTGTGGCTACTGTCAATATTTTGAGGGTTTGAAACCCAAATCTGTTGGAAAAAAAGGTATGTTTATTTAGAGAATGTTTTTATGTCTAATTTTGTAACTTAAATTATTGTCTGCACTAATTACCATATTTGAGTTCACTCCTTCAAATTAAGATTGAGCCGTAGTACATGAAAATCGGATCATACGATCAAAAGTTATTTGGGGTGATAAGTTTTTTTTTTGTGCCCCGTACATAATAAAAACAAATGCACTATTCAAAATTATTGAAATTGGAATAGAAGTGTACTATTATTATCTAATGAGAAGAAAGCTTAAATTTACAAATCACAAAACTAATTTCAAGAATTTTTTTTTAAAACTTTAAATAACAAAATAGTGATCTTTCTTACCTTAACTACTTGTTAAAATATATTTCAATCCAAAATAATTTAACTTACCCATTTTGTTTAAATCACATAAGAAAAAGAGATCTGAATTTATCTTAATCTAGCTTTTTTTAATGAGATTTTAAAAAAATTTCCTTTTAAAATTGTTTAAACTTCATATCAGAATAATGAATATATTTACAGTTTTTAAATGAAATGTGGTTTTCAAAACTGTCATTAAACTAGGAATTGGTAAAATTTTAATTTTATCTAGTGTTTTTCCAAAAGAAATCAATACTCAATCACTTTTTTAGAGATAAATATATATTGAAAAAAAAATATTAAATTTTCACTTAGTTTTTTATTGACAGTGAAAATTCCAAAAGAAATATAAGATTTTCAAGTGTTATTTGGAATGTGCTGTTGTTTATTACAGACCAAGTATTGATGTAATTTTGGTAATTGAAACTTATTAACTCGGAATTATACCTGCAATAAATTTTAAAACTATTGAAATCAACCTTATTATTGATCCCTGGTTACAAGTACTAATTAACTACTTCTAATTAGTTACTAGCACTAATTAACCATTACTATCTTCTAACACTAATTAACCATTACTAACTACTAACACTAATTAACAATTAATAACTACTACTACTCATTAACTAATATTTATTATTACTTTTAATACACAGTTTATTATTGCTACTAATTAGTAATAATAAACTACTTTTAATTTTAAGAAATTTAAGTGAAAGCTTATTTTTTAAATTTGTAAATACTTTATTTAACTCTTTTAAGCAAATACCTTTTCTAACAAAAATTATTTATCAAAAATAGTTATCTTTCTTTTAGTTTTCACTATTCACAGGATCACATTTTGAAAATAAATTATTTTAAGACATTGAAAATATGAAATACCTTGAATTTTGAAATGAAGGCCTAATTAAAATGTTTCAATCATCTTGTTTACAAAGGATTGTCATAGACAATGTTGTAGTTCTTATCTTAACATTTTTATGCTTGTACAGTGAAAGAGAAAAAAACTAAATAACTTTTGATCTAATGATCAGAATTTCATGTACCAGAACTCAATGTTAATGGTGTGCGGATCTAACCTTAAAGATGCTAATTAAGTGATATTTTAAGTTACAAAATCAGGTACAACATGGCATTTACCATGGATTCATCTATAGGCAGTCATAATTAAAGAGTGTACATAAAGAACTTGTTAAGGGACATTTTAAGGACCATTTTTCAATATAAAGAGGGGCCTAATCTCCCTTACCAAAACTATCAGGACAAAATTTTTCACATTGCAGCTACCCCATATTTTGATGATTAAGAATTGAAGTTGCAAAAAATGTCTGAAAAATAATTTTTTTAACTTAAAACATATGCCTTTATTAAGATAGGACTTTAAATCAATTAGAATGAGTCTTAGTGTGTGCAAATACAATTTCAGATTTTTTTAGCACACTGTACGTAAGGTTTCTGTGGCAATTAGTGAGAGGTAAGTCAGGAGGTCAAAAGACAGTTTTAAATCTACCAATCATTTGTCTAACACAGAGGTCACCAAAGTGGTCTATATAGACCCCCAGGGGTCTATTTAACAAAAGCGGGGGTTGATCCGAATCGGAAGAGTCGGAAAAAAAAAAAACAGTTCTCAATGCGCAAATCACACATACCTAATTAAGTATGTAAAATTTGTGAATTTTTTTAATAATTGACTCAATATCAGTTTCTTTATAAAATATAAATGAATAAACGTCTATTTATTGGGGTGAAACAAGTATTTACGTACCACCGCGCAGTGGCACGAACTCAGCGCAGTTTATAAGTCATATGCATATATGCGCTTGTCCAAATGTCACGTGTGACGAGCCTTGACGTTATAAATGCAAATATCATACGCAGTTTCAACTATCTTTGCAAACTGTGTTGAATATTTGCAGAGCCATTATTATAANAAAATAGTTACTAAATAAAATATAGTAAAGTAATAAATATTTAAAATTATTTTTTTGCTGGAATTATCTTTAGATAAACGAATTTTATAATTGTATTCAAAAATTTTCGGTTTGTTTAAAAAGTTATTGAGATATGGATACACACGAAGTAAAATTAACATTAAGCTGTCCAAACTTTTAACCGATCGCTCTTCTGGTCAAACTATTTTTACCATATTTCCTAGATTGCGGCTACTGTCAATATTTTGAGGGTTTGAAACCCAAATCTGTTGAAAAAAAGGTATGTTTATTTAGAGAATGTTTTTATGTCTAATTTTGTAACTTAAAATATTGTCTGCACTAATTAGTATATTTGAGTTCACTCCTTCAAATTAAGATTGAGCCGTTACATGAAAATCAGATCATAAGATCAAAAGTTATTTAGGGTGATAAGTTTTTTTTTGTGCACTGTACATAATACAAACAAATTCATTATTCAAAATTATTGAAATTGGAGTAGAAGTGTACTATTATTATCTAATGAAAAGATAGCTAAAATATACAAATCACAAAACGAATTTCAAAGATTTTTTCTAAAACTTTAAATAACAAAATAGTGATCTTTCTTACATTAACTACTTGGTGAAATATATTTAAATCCAAAATAATTTCACTTACCCATTTTGTTTAAATCACGTAAGAAAAGATGATCTGAATTTATCTTAATCTATCTTTTTTTAATGCCATTTTAATTAACTACTTCTAATTAGTTACTAACACTAATTAACCATTACTAACTACTACTATAATCTTGTTCACAAAGGATTGTCATAGACAATGTTGTAGTTCTTAATCTTAAAATTTTTATGCCTGTACAGTGCATTGAAAAAAAAAAAAAAAAAAAAAAAAGAAANAAAAAAAAAAAAAAAAGGAAAAACTGAATAACTTTTGATCTAATGATCAGATTTTCATGTACTAGAACTCAATGTTAATTGTGTGTGGATCTAACCATAAAGATGCTAATTAAGTGCAGATAATATTTTAAGTTACAAAATCAGGTACAACATGGTATATACCATGGATGCATCGATAGGCAGTCATAATTAAAGAGTGTACATAAAGAACTTGTTAAGGGACATTTTAAGGACCATTTTTCAAAAAAAAAAGAGGGGCCTAATCTCTTACCAAAACTATCAGGGCAAAATTTTTCAGATTGCAGCTAGCCCATATTTTGATGATCAAGAATTGAAGTTGCAAAAAATGTCTGAAAAATAATTTTTTAAACTTAAAACATTTTATGCCTTAATTAAGCTAGGACTTTAAATCAAGTAGAATGAGTCTTAGTATGTGAAAATATAATTTCAGATTTTTTAGCACACAGTACATAAGGTTTCTGTGGCAAATGAGAGGTCGAGGTAAGTCAGGAGGTCAAAGGACAGCTTTAAATCTACCAATCATTTGTCTAATGAATCAGTCACAGCATACTACTCATAGGTCTGGGAAAATTTTGCACGAAGCTAAAGTACCAGAGTGATTTTTTTAATTATAGTGTAGTGTCTCCCAATGTTGGTCCATATACCACTAGGGCAATTTGAAAATGGGCTCTGGTCCAGAGTTTAAGTTAACCGTATAAAGGTCAACTAATATGCTCTATATATTGATGTTAGTGTCCATACATATTGTCTATAATTAGGTACCCTTTTTTTTTAAAAAAAAAACAATCTGTAAATACATAGCAAGAGCTATGTTAATCAAACATTTTTTTTAAGGGTCTATAGTGATATATTCTACTTTTTCAATAGGGTTAACAATGCATTTTAGTCTTATATTCTACTTTTAAGTTTCAAATCTGCAGTTGCAATCTAATACTGAGCTATAATTTTTTTTTATTTCTTAGTGCTTTTTAAAATTATAAAAATGCTTTTAAGAACGAATCTTTCCTTTGTAAATAATGATTTTTATAATTTGAGTTTTGTCAATTTTTGTTACTATTAGTTGAAAGCTAACAGACTTAAGTCAAAGGTCACTGCTGGTCCACAATCTAATATCCTTGAAGGAGTTACATGGGAAGAAATTCGTCAAATGCAGGTGAGTTTTAATTTGTGTTCAAAAATTTGTTTTAAATGAATTTTGTAATCAACAATTAGCTTTGATAACTTTGTTTCTTAAAAAAGTTGATATTTTAGTATTCTGTATTATGTAATACAATAAAATACAGAATAAAATGTATTATATATTTATGATACATATATATGTATTGTCACCAAACAGATGAAATTTCTTTTTAACAATGGCGGAAAAAACCTGAAATATAAATTATGTGAACTTGAACTGTCATTAGCTCTTATGATTTTAAAATGTAAGCTGAAATTATTTTCACGTAGATGTTTCTTGCTTGAACAACAAGAAGCGTGAAACAAACTGAGCTTTAAACTGAGAATAAAAGTGAATACCTAACGAAGTGTTATATATTTTATTTTAATTATGCTTATTTATTTACGCTGCTATCATAATTTATTGCTTTAAAAAAATTGAATTGAATGTTTTGTCTAAGAGATCAATGGGAAACAACTTAAGCTTTGATTCACCTAAGCTTTGATTCAACCTAAGCTTTGCTACTGTTCATGTTTCTCCCTTGGTTTATGAATTTTAAAATTTATGTTAGAAAAAAAGATTTGAAACTGTTACCGCCAAGATCTGAAATCAGTGCTTGTGAAATTCTATGAATTTGTTCTAAATGTAATTTCAAAGTAGCATAAAAATATATGTTTGTCAAATTTTAATGTATATAAATTTAACAAATTTTTTTATAATTTTGATATACTTTGGCTAGAATTTAAAGTCTTCATAGGATTTATATGGTGTTTATTTTTAGAACTTCATTTTGAAAAGAGAATTTCATACGTACAAATGAAGACCAAAATATACAGTATCTGAAAAGAACTACAAAAGCAGCTCTAGTTAAATCATTATTCTTGTTAAACTGAACATTCATTAACTTCATGCAATTAACTTGAAATGAATCCCGTGTTTTATGCAATCACGTCAAATACTATTTAAACTAATAACCCAGTTTGATAATAATTTAAATATGATGTAATAATGTTTTAATATATGATGTTGTATTACTTTATAATAACTTTAATGTCAATAACTCTGATGCCAAGTTTCCTAACAATAACTCACAATTTGAAAAATCAAAGAAAATCTCAAGATATTATGTACAGTTAGCAGCATTGAGCCTCAAGAAAAAAAAAAAAGAAAAGAAAAAGACAAAGAAGTTTTTTTCCTCCACATTTCAAAATTGGTTCCCACGATACTGTTCAGAAGAAACACTATGCAATAATATTTTCGCAATAATCATAACTTGCAACAACACTGTAGTGTAGTTTGAGAAAAAAAAAATTCAGATGCTTGTGCAAATATTTAATTTGGTATAGTCTAACATATCATAAAACATTGTTTTATAGTTTTAGTCCGCAGCACCCCTGATAGTAGAATTTATTGAGTTACTCTGCTGCACTTATATTCATAAACCTAAATTTGTCTTTGGCCCCAAGGCAGTAGACAGACTATGATTTAAAAATATTTATACATGCATACATCAAAATTTGCAAAGATAAATTATTTAAAAATTACACTCATAACTTTTATGTTTAAATTTAATTTCAATTTTATAAATTGTTTAAAAGAGTAAAAGCCGATCCCTATACCATAAAAGCAATATTTTTTTCAGTAACAATCTGGACACTTTTATTTTGTGTGGCATTCTTTTAATCTAACTTAATAATTTTGATAAGGAATAAGTTTAGAAATGTTTTAAGAAAATGATTAGTGTTTTTAAAATTAATGAAAAAAGAGGAAATGGAACAGACATTTACATTAAGCCTGTTAAAAAAAAAAAAAAATCAGAAATTAAAAATATTTGTAAAAGTGATAAACTTGCAGATAATATTGAATTAAAATTGTTTAATTTCGTTTTCAAATTATTTCAAAATGCAAAATTTTTGATATCAGAGCAGTGCCATCTGTTCATGAACTTAGTAACTACCTTTGTGTGAGAAAAATATATTTTTTAGTATTTGTGTGAGAAAAATTTAAGTGATTTTTCAAAAGAATCAATGAGTTTTTCTCGTTTAACTTCTTCATATGGTTTTTTAATCTATTGGTCATTTTTCGGACATCTAGTATAAAGAAGAGATGACTATCACCATGGTAAATAATGGTTAATTTATTTTTTGCGTTCTATTTCAGAAATTAATTTTTGTTTCTCAATTTGTGAAAAATAATTGAAAGCCTTTGTGCTTAAAACAGTGATCTATAATGTTTACTTATAAGAATAAAACTATAATATAAGAATAATTTGTTAAAAGTGCAGAAAAGTTGCAAATTCTTAAAATTTCAATAAAAAAAAAATTCTATATTTTCCTTCCTTATGTTTATTAGGAACTGCAGGGAGAATTTGATAACTTAATGCACCTATAGAAGTCAAAAATGTTTAGTTATTGTAAATTCAACAAATAATTTATTTATTTATTATTTTCCATTTTTATTTTTTTAATTTTTCAATTTTTTATGCAATTTTTTAAATAATTGAAATGTTATTAAAGTTTAATAACAATGAATGTGAAAAAAAATCTCATTTTAAAGTTCAAGAGGTTTGCATTATAGAAATTGGATTTCATATCCAAAATTTTTTACCTCAGATTCTTATGTATAAAATTTTTTCCAACTTTGAAAATTTTATTTATCTTAAAATAGGATGCTGCCAATGCCGCTGGGGATCAAGTGGTCTTGGTGGGAGCTGCTTCCAAGGGTATCATTCAACGAGAGTTCCAGCACAATGCAATGGTTTACAAAAGTGCTTATAGCAAGAATCCCTTTGATAATGTTACTGAAAATGATTTAGAAGAATATAAGAAAATAGTTGAGCGAAAGCAACGTGGTGAATCTTGTAAGAAATTTCTGTCTAGATTTGTTTTATTTCCAAAGAATTAAGTTTTGAAAATATTTATTTGAAACTTTCTTATCTATTTTTACATATTCATAAGTGCCAACATGTACGGTAATTATTAAATTTACTGGTAGTAACATTTATGTTAACCTAGAAATTTAGAAATTTTTAAGTTTAAGAGGTAAATCTTAATTTGTTTTATCTGTCATATCAAAGCAATAATTCAAGCATATGTATATATTATCAAAGTATATATGACCCACCCATTAGGGTATGTGCTAAAATGACACTTTGTCACAATAGTAATCCTGTCTGGAAAAAAATAACCATTCACCACGGCATCCTGTGAGGGGCAAAATCGGGAAGATCGCCGTCTAAGGTAACCGAAGCAAAACAAAGAGAATCATTGACTAGGAGGATCAAGACAAAGCAAATCCAAAACCATGGGATGGCCGCTAAGTTATTAATGTTTTTGAAGCTTTTTTGCCAAGGAAAATAAAAAAGCCACAGTTTAAGTACTTGAGGCAAAGCTTTAATTTTAAATTATTTATACTATCTTGTGTACAAAATTATCTGCATTTTGGAGAATGCACTATAGACAAAAATATTATAAAAGTTTTAAAACCTTTTCAAAAATTGCCAATTTGGCCAAATTTTTCAATTTGGATGAAAATTATCAAAACCAATGAATAATTCTCAGTGTTTGCTAATTTTTATGATCCCACATAAGGTAGCATTGGAGAAACTTTTTTAATAATAAAAAATTAAGTCACAAACGCTTTTTATTCACAAAACTTGGGCTTTTCTTCAAATTGCTAAAGGTAAGCTAAACTTGAGGCAAGTCATGAATAACAAATGTAAACTCAGTTATTCACAAAAAATTTCATGTGATGTTAGAGACTTTGAAAAACAGCCTTAAGTTCACAAATAATTCATTGTTTCTCTTTATTTTATGTTCTATTTGTATATTAATCTTTATCATTTAATTATCTTTTTTTTGTTTTGTCCTTAATTTATAATTATGAATTTCTATGCTATCTAGTTGAGGATGAGATACCAGATGAAATTAAGCCATTATTGCTGGAGCCTGTGTCTGATCACTCCAGAGCTCAATCTTCTGTGCCGCCCAGTTCGAAATCCCCTCCACCCTCTCCAGCATCTTATGCTACTAACAGTAAGTATTGTTGGTTTTTCAAATTTCTGAAATTTTGCATGTTTTTATGCCAATAAAATGTGCTGTGTGCATTAAAAACATATTGAGTTTTAAGGTTAGAAAAATATTAGAAATGTCTGTTTTATAAATAATTGATAAGATTAAAAAGAATCATGCATGGATTACCCTTTCAATTATGCATTTTCATTTAATTATAAAATTCAAATTCAATNAATGACCCACCCATTAGGGTATGTGCTAAGATTACTTTGTCACAATAGTAATCCTGTCTGAAAAAAAAGGAAACATTTACTGTGGACATCCCTCGAGGGGCAAAACCAGGACGATTGGGGACTAGGGCAACCGAGGCAAAACAAAGAGGACCGTTGATTAGGGGGATCGAGACAATGAAAATCCAAAACCATGGCCGCCAAGTTATTAATGTTTTCAAAGCTCTTTTGCCAAGGAAAATAAAAATGCCACAGTTTTAGTACTTGAGGCAAAGCTATAATTTTAAACTGTTTATACTATCTTGTGTGTAGAATTATCTGCATTTTGGAATGGACATGAACTATAGTTAAAGAATGGACTAGTTATAGAATGGATAAATGTTATAAAAGTTATTAAATCTTTTCAAAAATTGCCAATTTGGCCAAATTTATTAAATCTTTTCAAAAATTGCCAATTTGGCCAAATTTTTTCATTTAGATGAAAATTATCAAAATCAATGAATAATTCTCAGTGTTAGCTAATTTTTATGAGCTCACTTAATGTAGCATTGGAGTAACTTTTTTAATAATAAAAAATTACGTCACAAAAGCTTTTTATTTTCACAAAATTTTCTTCAAATTGTTAAAGGCTTTTCTTCGAATTGCTGAAGGCTTTTCTTCGAATTGCTGAAGGCTTTTCTTCGAATTGCTAAAGGCTTTACTTCGAATTGCTAAAGGCTTTACTTCGAATTGCTAAAGGCTTTTCTTCAAATTGCTAAAGTCTTTTCTTCAAATTGCTAAAGTCTTTTCTTCAAATTGCTAAAGGCTTTTCTTCAAATTGCTAAAGGTAGGCTAAACTTGATGCAAGTCATGAATAACAAATGCAAACTCACAACAGTTATTCACAAAAATAGTGTTTTTTCATGTGATGTTAGAGACTTTGAAAAATAGCCTTAAGTTCGCAAGTTATTACTCTTTTTTTTATGTTCTGTGTGAATATTAATCTTTATCATTTAATTACGTTTTTTTGTTTTTACCCTTAATTTATAATTATCAATTTCTATGCTATCTAGTTGAGGATGAGATACCAGATGAAATTAAGCCATTATTGCTGGAGCCTGTGTCTGATCACTCCAGAGCTCAATCTTCTGTGCCGCCCAGTTCGAAATCCCCTCCACCCTCTCCAGCATCTTATGCTACTAACAGTGAGTATTGTTGATTTTTCAAATTTCAGAAATTTTGCATGTTTTTATGCCAATAAAATGTGCTGTGTGCATTAAAAAAATATCTAGTTTTAAAGGTAGAAAAATATTAGAAATGTCTGTTTTATAAATAATTGATAAGATCAAGATGAATCACCCTTTCAATTATGCATTTAATTTATAAAATTCAAATTCAGTACAATGAAATTTGTTAAATTGTCTATTTATCTAAGTTGATTTCTATAATTAGCTGTCAAATTGGTTAAAAAAATTTCTGTTTCTTATGTGTCTAATTTTCTAATAAGATTCTCAATGATTAAATGATTATGCACCCTAAGTTAACTTACTCTCACTGTAGGAAGAAAATTTTAGAGTTTTTGATTGATAGAAATAAAATCATGAGTCTAGACGAGTTTTAAGTAGTTTGTTTTTCCACCACAACAAAAACCAATTAAAAACCAACTTTCCATTGGTTTTTATTGGGGTTTTGTTGTGGGAGGAATTCATTACCATGATTGCTATTTTCATAACTGGTAATTGTTTTCAAAACTTTTAAATTTTTTATTCGTTATACTTTAAATTTTTGTATAAAGCATATAATCAAGTTGATTATATTACGCATGCAATTTCAGTTGTAATGTGCACTAGCCGGGCTAAAATTTTTGCACACCACTAATTTCACAAAAATATAAAAAAAAATTTCAAAATATAACCAGATTTAGCAAAAAGAAAGTTTTAGTGACGAAAACCATAAAAGAAAGTAAAAAATGAAAAAGTATTTGACGTTTATTACTAAAATAGCACAAAAATGTTATAATCTGGAGTATGTTGGGAGTCTCTCTATACATTCTTTTCTGTTATTCATTCTCTTTTCTATACATTCTCTTCTTTTCTCCTGCATCTGAGTCAATGCTAGTGAAGCAAACATAAAACTGAATTTTATTCACACTGCCAACATAACTTTCATTTTAAGAGATTTTGTTTAAATAAATGTTGAGTTTCTTTATATCCCATATTCAAGAATTGTTTCTTTGTAAAGTAAACTTAAGGGATCAAAAGCATCCTGAGATGTTTATATAGTTCGTTCACCTGGAGTTGGCACTTGGCTCCGCCTTCATTACGTGGTATCGGACGATACTATTTCGCTATTTTGGGGAGAAGGATGTGAACAAAGCTGCTATTTGGCGATCGTATGACAAAAATATTTATTTCGCAATCTTCATGTGCATATTTTGAACATGTGCATTTTATTTCATAAACTTGTTGATATTTCTCTCTTTTTATTGAATAGTTTGTTCTCTTTGAGATATTTTGCTGGGAAAAAGTTTTTAAACATAAATTAGCTAGAATAACGAAAGGTATAATAGCTAATGATAAAGCGAAGTAAGTGACTGAAAAAGAATTTCACTATGTTTGGCCATCACCTTCTACATCAGAAAGCCTCCACGCGGTTTTTTATAAGTAGTCTGCGCAGACCATTTAAAAAGTGAACAGTTTGAGTGCATGAAACCAAATTCTATTATAAAAGTGACTGAAAGGAATTTGTCATATATATTTGAGAATTGAATCTGTAGTGGTTGACAAGTAAATAAAACAAACCAATTATATTCATAAATGAAACAAATTTTTAGACACATATTTGCTACCACTTTTTTATTTTTACTAGATTTTCTATTAAAGGGCTCTTTCGTAAATTGGTTTGCCTTCATAGTGGTCTGATCGGACTACCTATAAAAAATCCGTGTGGAGGCTTGTGGGGGGAGTTTAATCTTAGACTATGTCAACCTTCATCTATCAAAAGGTACCTCATGCTAGAATCAAGTTAACATGTCTTATATACTAGTGAATTGGTATTTATTATTTATAGTGGTAGTTACGCCACTGGCTTTGCGTGCATTAGAGGTTATCTTGATTTCAAGCGGAGAAATGTTCTTCCTCTTACTCCCCCGCTCTGAAATGAACTCTGCGTCCGAGGAGGTGGAGCCAAGTGCCAACTCCTGGTGAACGAACTATACATCTATTGACATAGATTAGTCTGTGATGCTCTTTGTATATTAAATTAATCTCAAAGTCTGAAACTATTGCTCCCCATTTTAATATTTGTCTGCTGAAAACTCATAACTCTAGGAGAAATAGGAATGTATTTAGTTTGATTTGAAATTCAACATTTTCTAGGACATTACTCACCAGTCCTAATTATTTGGCTGCCAATAGAGAAGTAGTGAGTGGAAATTTCGTTCCGTGTTATAGAGATAGTCTTGAAATAAAACTTTGCTTTATGTTAAAAGGAACTTATGCCTTCTGGTTAAAGGAATGTTGTTCTTTGGTTAAGTAGTATTATTTGGTTTTATTTTTGTTGTAATAAAAAAAAATTTTTTACGACTTAAATTTTTAAAATTTCGTTTTTGAAATTGAATTTTGAAAGATTTCCTAATTTTTTTTAAAGATTAATTTAAAAGTGAAATATAAAGTTAATTTTTTTTAATAAACTGTGTTAAAATATGTACTGCATAATAATAAAAGGAACAAAAAAAGTAGTGTTTGAAAATAATTAATTTTTTTGAGAAAAGGTGCATCAAAGTTGAGCATTTCAAAATGAAATGGAAGAAAACAATCAACCACTCTTAAATGTCTGTCATACTGGCTAAATAATTAGAATAATTAAATTTTTTCTCTAATTTCAAGTTTTCAATGACATTTTTTAGAAAATAAATAATGCGTTTAGGAGACATGAATAATTCTATGATTTTAAAGCAGTACCAGAATTTCCTAAGTGCTTAAGTGATATAAAATTTTAGGAAAAATTTCCGGATGAGTCAGTAATATCCTCAAACATGTAAATTTTTATTATCTTCAATAATTTGATACTTGATAATTGATTTGATAATTTGATTAATCCATTAAATACGTTTTATTTGACTTGAAATTCACAATATTTGGGTGCTGACACTGTCTTTCTCACTGTTTGTGAAGGCTGAATAAGTGGGTTGGTTATAATAAAATCAAATGATAATTATTATTATTTTTTTTTTTTAATATTTTATAAACAGTCATGACTTTTGGATCATGGATAGCGATGGTCTTTGATCCCAAACGATTTCATCGATGTTGAGAAACTAAAATTTAACTGCATCAAGTTTTGGATGAAATGGCTTCTGACTGAAGGTGTTAAATACGAAATAACATAAAATTAGTTGTAATCAATAATAGATTAATCAATGATATATAATTATTCTTGCAGGCAAAGATCGAGACAATATTGCTGTTCAGAAAGCTTTATCGTCCCAACTTGCAGAGCAAGGTAAGCTTTAAATATTTTAAATTCAGAATTTTTATTTGCATGTTTCATTTTGTTTCAATTCGAAATGCATTTGTTTGCAATATTTTTATGCATGGTTTTATTTTTATTGAACACCAGTGAGTACTGATAACATTTAAGAAATTAAATGAGAAAACTTTTGAAAATGTTAAAATATTCCAGTTTGTCTTTATCATTTGCATGACATTGAGCATGTTTTATATTATATTGCATGTGTTTTTAGAACCTATTGAAAAGAAGCAAAATTTCTTCCGGCGCACATTCTCAGAACGAAAACCTAAAACAAAATGTGAGTATGATGCACACAAATTAATGCATGGTTTTAAAATATTTTGTTAATATTTGTACAGATCTGTTTTAAGTTTATGGCTGAATATTCGAGTAAACTACTTTTGTTTGATATAATTTATGCTCATCTTTTTTTTGTACTTATTTTGTTATCTTTTCTGCTGCAAATTTCTTAAAATATTGTGTGTATTTTTGTTTTTAAAAAGTATTTCTGGTTTTAAAAAGTATTTTTTAATTAAGATGTTAAGAGGGAACCTAATTTTCTGGTTAAATAATTTTAAGCTAAGAAGTTTTAGACCTTCTCTTCATTGTTATTTATGTGGCTCAGTAAATATAAATCCATCTAACTAATGAAGAAGTGCCAAACTGTTCGTCAGGAAGAAAAAAAAAATGCTGAAGAAAAAAAAAAAAAAAAAAAAGGCATGGAATATAGTCTCACTTTGCTCTATGAATCTCCTCTTTGCTCTATGATAGATATTTTATTTGCACCTACAAAGTAACACACTTCCTCCCAACCGAAGTACATAAAAGATATATGAAACAACCGAAATTTCAACTATCCGATTTCCTTAAAATCTAACTAACAGAAGTTTATTTGTTATTCTTCAATAATAATCAAATTTTATGTTGTTTATTTTGTATCTAATGACACTTGAATTAGCCAAGTTCACCAGCCACTGGCTTCTTGCAAATTAAGTCAGAAAGGCTTGCCTTTTGTTTAACAAGAGAGCAACGTTAGGGTGAAAGTACATTTTGGACCAGAATCTCATGTATAGATGGCAGCACCACTCATTCATGAAGCCACATCCTCAATTTAGACATAGATGTGATGGGTAAGGATATGTTCTCTACATCCTTGTGCCCATTGTACTGCTCAGCGACTGACCACAGGACTTTCGGTTTCAAAGATTTTTACGAGCACTTATATCGCATGTTCTCGGTGGGTCTTAGGGGAGGGGAGGGTCGAACTCTGGTCCCTCCAGACTGGCGTCTGATTCTGTAGCCACTGGGGTACCACGACCCATTACTTCTTCACTGAAGATCCAAAAAAACTGGTATACCTGCCTAATGTCATGTAGGGCCCCCGCGAGCACGCAGAAGTGCCGCAACATGACGTGGCATGGATTCGATCAATGTGTGAAGTTGTGCTGGAGATAATTGACACCATGAATCCTGCAGGGCTGTCTATAAACCAGAGGGAGTCAGGATATCTTCTGAACATCCCAAATATGTTCAATAATGTTCATGTCTGGGGATTTTGGTGGCCAGCGGAAGTGTCCAAATTCAAAAGAGTGCTCTTGGATCCACTCTGTAGCAATTCTGGACGTGTGGGGTGTCGCATTGTCCTGCTGAAATTGCCAAAGTCCGTCGGAATGCACAATGGACATGAATGGGTGCAAATGATCAGACAAGATTCTTACGTACCCGTCACCTGTCAGATTCTTATCTAGACATATCAGGGGTCCCATATCACGCCAACTGCACACACCCCATACCATCACAAAACCTCCACCAGCTTGAACAGTCCCCTGTTGACATGTAGGGTCCATGAATTCATAAGGTTGTCTCCATACCTGTACATGTCCATCAGCTCGATACAACTGGAAACGAGACTCGTCAGACCAGGCAACATTTTTTCCAATCAACAGTCCAGTGTCAGTGTTGACGGCAAGGCGTAAAGCTTTGTGTCATGAAGTCAACAAGCGTACACGTGTGGGCCTTCGTCTCCGAAAGCCCATATCAATGATGTTTCGTTGAATGGTTCACACGCTGACACTTGTTGATGGTCCAGCATTAAAATCTGCTGCAATTTGTGGAAGGGTTGCACGTCTATCACGCTTAATGATTCTTGTCAATCGTCATTGATCCCGTTCTTGCATGATCTTTTTCTGACTGCAGCGATGTCGTCAGGGTTGCCACAGGCGACTAAAATGCAACTATTTTTGGCATGAGGCGACTATGGCTACTTTTTTTGCCTGAAAAGGCTGAAAAAGCAACTATTTTCAGGAACTATTGGGAGACTATTGGGAGACTTTTCTGTACTCCCTTTGTTGCTGTAGCGTTTTTTTTTTTTAAGCATGACTTGGGTTGAAAATCTGCAGCCCGCAATAGTTTCTGAACACACTGAGCTTTTTTTTTTCTTAAAAAAAAAAAGAAAAAATTGAAAATTTTGAATTGCAAATTTGAGTTTTCACTTTTTAATTCGTTCAGTCTGCACAAATTCCATTGTAAGTCTATTTCGTTTCTCGATCACCTTCTCGATGGTTCTATTTCAGTGGCTACAAAAGTCTGCATGATTTAAAAAAATAAAATCTAAAACGATATTATGATGCATGAATGTTGAATTGACTAATCACTTTTCACTATATATATATATATATATATATATATTTCCTAGATCAATTATTGATAAAAAGGAAAATAGTGCTAGAACATTAGCGTTTATATAAAAATTTAAATTATCATATTTGCCACCAACTTGACTAAATGGATCATGGTATATGACAATTAAGTCATTAACAAAATTTTAGTCATATTTTTGATGAATTTTTGTTCTTATTTAGGCAACTATTTTCATAGTTTTCGGCTCCTATTTTCATGCTTTAGGCTACTAAAAGCAACTATTTTGTTAATTTTTTTCTGTGGCAACCCTGTGTCGTAGATTTAATGTTTTACCGGATTTCCGATACACACGGTATACTCGTGAAATGGTCGTACATGAAAATCCAAATTTCATTGCTATCTCGGAGATGCTATGTCCCATCTCCCGTGCGATGACTATAACACCACGTTCAAACTCACTTAAATCTGTATAACCTGGCATTGTAGCAGCAGTAACCGATCTAAGAACTGTGCTAGACACTCGTTGTCTTATGTATGCATTGCCGATCGCAGCGCTGTACTTTTATTGGCTCCCTACCCCTTTATTTGCATGTGTATATTATGACAGTATAGTGTTAGCTTATTCCTAAGCGTAGTATATACGTTACTATGGGTAATACAAATCATGATTGTCAAATTTTTTAATTCACAATCACGTAACATAATTGAAGGAAGTCATCTTCCTGAAAAATAATCTTTTGCGCGAATTTGCATTATTTCGTCATCTATGAGTGTCCCCTTAAATTGTCTGATTGACCTAAACTTGCGTGCAATTTTTTTTTTCTTTTGTTGATTGAAATAAGAATAGGAGGGAATAATAAGAATAGCCCTTATTTCTAAACTTAAAAAGTTTAGAAATAAGGGCTGCCCTAATATACACATGTGTTCATTTATTACTCATACATAGAATATCTTGTATAGTGTATCTTAATTATGCATAATATTAATTATATTAATAATTATAAATACTTTAAATCATAAATCTAGATCCAATATCTCACTTTTTGAAAAATTAAAGTTTTCAGTTTATTATGAATTGTGCAAAGATGTGAGACACTGAATAATTTACAATTGTCTGCATAAATGCCAAATATCCACACACTTTTCATTTTATTTGTAAAATATCTCTATCAGATAAACTTTTCCTTGTGTTTTTTTTTTATCCCCTTGCAACTTTACCTTTTTTTTCATTCTAAGAATTCTTTTAAAAACTTAACTCTGTCTGTCCTAGATAACTTTAAAATTTTAATGTAATACTATTTGAAAAATTGTAATTAGGACAAAAAAATAAATGAACGGTGCATTTTTTTTAAAATTAAATTTATTTTTCACATCTTGTGTGTTTTTTAGACCATCTGCAACTTATCTGCTTAATTTTAAGAAAATGCTGATCCTTATTGCATGATTTTTAAGATATTTCCATCTTAATTTAGAGACTCCTAAGTATAATGTAATTATTATGTCTTATATATATTTTTTTGTAGCTGCACAAGCTGTAAATGGGCAGAAAATGAGGTCATTGGAAAGTGGAGATGTGTCCATAGCATCGCAGAGTAGTAAAGAAGTAAGCATTTTTGTTGAAAGTATAATATTTCACTTTGTAAATAATTCCTTTTAAAGTTAAGATTAGTAAATTAAATATTTATATCTTACTCATCAGGGTTTGTTTAAAAAGATTTGCCTCAGGTTAATGTTATATAAATTTGATGAAGTCAATAAGTTAGGGAGTTTTCCTATTCTTCATGCTATAAAATATATTAATTTATTTAAAATAAGTTTTGATATTTTTTCTTCTTTTTTTTTTGTTATAGTGTAATTTTTTGTTTGTTTTCAAAAAACTTTTTTTTGAAGCATCTATTTTATTTTTTTAGGGTTCTCCAACAAAAGATCTTAGTGAAAGTTCATCCAAGAAAGAAAAAGAAAAGGAAAAGAAGAAAAAAGGAGGATTAAAAACTCCATCATTTTTGAAATCCAAGAAAAAACACAAGAAAGACAAGGAAAAGAAAGAAAAGGGTGCAACAGATATGTAAAAGGTAGAAAAACACTACTCGCTTATCTTTGCATGTTTTTTTAGCGACATATTTTTTATTTTTAATATTTTCATACTCCTTTGAATATTTTAACAAGGGAATTAACTTTCAAACTTCTTTTTAAAAATGTCAACTAAGGAATTATTTTTAAAACTTCTTAAAACTATTCTTTCTTTAGAGATACAATCAAGAACTTTTTAATCTCAACATTCTGACAAGGGAAATATAATTGAATGAAATGAGGCAACTAGCTTCTTTTTAAAAGTATCTTTTTTTATAAAAAAATATAGTTTTCTTGCTTTGTTTATGAAGACCATAAGTGTTTTATGCATTGAATTGTTTCTTTCATATTTAAGAGTATCAAGACAGTCAATAACTCGTATCATAAAATAAACTTAAAATACATTTTTAAATTTCTTAACCCCTGAGTATCAGTTAAGACATTTTCCAACTTTTAAGCTGGATGCTTCCTTCAGTCATAAACCAGATTTTGTTTTCTGATTCTATAAGAAAATATCATGCTAAGTAAAATTTCGTAAAAGGGTTCAATGCTTGGAAGTTTAAGACAAAGCAATCAAATTGTTAAAACGAGTATAATATTAACAAATCTACTGTAAGCATTTAATTTTCTGTTAACAGTTGTGTTCTCTGGTTACATGTCTATAGAGATGACCTGCTTTCTGACTTTTCCTAAGGTACTGGAATCTTTTGTTAACAATTTTATTTTCTTCCCTTTATTGGAAAATTTCGACTCATTTTGATGGCAATATGCAGTCAATTCTTATAACAATCGAATAACTTTACATTCAACGTGGTTCTTTTGAAAGAACAGTTATCCTTTTCGACTCTATTTTTGAACTATAAGCTCTGTATGAATAATATTCCCGAGTCCTGAGATGCAAGACTTTGTTCATGAATTTCCATAATAAAGTGTTTTTCATTTCAATGGATACCTCTGTAGCATTGTGGAGAATGAGAAGGCTGACTACCTTGGTAAGAAGGGATCTTAAATTCCTTGTTATGGGATTCCATTCCGTTAAATTGAATATTGTTAGGATTTCCAAGGGCTTCCTCATTGAAACGATTTTGCATCATTTGAGGGAAAATCTTTGGAATGCACTCTTCTCTATACTACAGCTTGTTCCTGACTCACCTGGTTTAGATTCAATTTTAACTTTCAGGCTTCTGACAGGGCATGATGGTCTAGAGCCGTGATGGTCCAGGGGATTGAGCATTTGCCTTCCAATGAGGTGAACCGGGGTTCGATCCCGGCAGTAGCTGGTCGATACGAATTCCGCATTCGACTTGCCCAATCACAGTGCTGACGTAAAATATCCTCAGTGGTAGGCAGATCATGAGTTAAAGTCCCCTTTGCCGCCAGGCTAACCATGGGAGGTTCTCGTGGTCTTCCGCTCCATGTAATGCAAATGCGGGTTAGTTATATCAAAAAGTCCTCCATGCAGGCAAATTTCTCCCAATATTCGATCCAGGAATTCCTGTGTCTTCTGGATTGGGTTCAAAATTACAAGGCTACGGAGTTGAACATTAGTAATCGTAAATTCAAAAATTGGATCGGCTGTTCAGCGAAGGTAATAAAATGAAATAAAATTAAATGTTGTAGACTCTCCTACATGTTCTCTTTATATGATTGGTGATATGAAATGACTGCTTTATATTTGGGCCCTGCACTATCTTCTTGCTTTATTCAAGTTGAGAAGCATTGGTGAGCCTGTAGTCTAATAGCTTAACGATTGGCATTTCATGACAGTATTACATAATAAATCATTTTTAGCTAGAAATCGCTTGTTACTTTTGAATTTTTTTCAATACAGCATAATTTTGTTATATTTTTTTTATATAAATATAAAGCAACTTTTAAAATAAAGTGTTGTCTTTTGAGCCTTATGATATAAAAGTTATTGAATCAAATGTTACCAAATTTTGCTGTTAATTTTGTCAAACTATTTAAAAGATGCAGTAACAAACCAATTACCACTTCAGTGTGTTTTATAGGAAAAAAATTGAATAGAGTTAAACTGAAAGGCCATTATTAGAAACGTCTCTTACAGCAGCTTCTGCCGTTAAATGTGTTAACAGAGTTTTAGAATTCTTGTCATAAAGGAATTAAAAAAAGCACATACTTTACTGATCACAATTTATTATTTAAGTGAAGAAATAAAAATACATCAAAACTTAGCTAATCGCTTCTATAGAAGGTAGAACTGAAAGCATCAAAACTTGTTGATTGTTTGGATTGAAATAAAAATTCATTTGCAATTATTAGAAGTACCTCCAAGTTTCAGTAGTTGAACAAATTTGTTTTAATATTTTTTTATCTAGTCATTCTTATTAGCGATTATACATATTTCAATGGTGTTTTTGTATGTTATTTTTTAAAATTAATTTTAAACAAAGATTCTAAAAATGTATATTAGAGGCAGTGATTAAAATTTTTTTTTATATATGATGACTATAACAAAGATATTTTTTTGAGATTTTTCAGATCCAAATAAAATATTGTATTTATTCAAGTGTTTTTACTTACAATGAATCATAAGCTACTTTTTGAACTATCCTCATATTGTACCAGTCATATGTTACAGTTCATGTATATATATATAATCATATANCAAAGATTCTAAAAATGTATATTAAGGGCAGTGATTAAAAAAAATATTTTACATTTGATGACTATAACAAAGATATTTTTTTTAGATTTTTCAGATCCAAATAAAATATTGTATTTATTCAAGTGTTTTTACTTACAATGAATCATAGGTTACTTTTTGAACTATCCTCATATTGTACCAGTCATATGTTGCAGTTTATATATATATATAATCATATATTTCATACAATTTTATCAATATCTCTTTTCAACGTAACTGTAGGAAAAGTTATTTTAATAAAATTAAAAAATATTTATGCATTTTCAAATTTTTTTCGAGTACCTGAATAAGTTTTTTTGCCAGAAATAACAAACATTCAACCTATTTACTTAACAAAAATTGTTTCTTGGCTATTAAAGAATAATAATTCACTAAGTGTGTTATAGTCTTTATCTAATTAACCTCTTGGTAGGCATTGATTTAAAACTTTGAAGTTGTTCTCTGGACTAGTGTCAAGTTCAACTTCATGTCAAACTGCTTGAAATAATCTTTTTTTTTCTTCTTCTAGATATATTTTTTGATGGCATCAGTGAGAAAGATGATTATTACTACTTCATCGATTGTGAATCATTTCCATCAGTTTGCATGTAAAGCTTCTCTAGTGCTTTTGATAGCTACAAGTTTCACATCTGTGTTTGCAGTTGCTAATTTTTATCTTTGTTGCAGCATCATTTTAGCATAAACTTTCTCATAATCCACCATTTTGCAGAACATTTTTTTTCATTTTTAAATTATTGCAGTTCTTGCATTTGACATTTTTCTCTCTTGAGTTATGCCATTCTATTACCTTTGGTGGCTTCAATTTCTTATGATGCTGGTCATTACTTCAAATAATTGCTGTCTACTTTTTAATTTGTGTGTGTGTTTTAATCAATTTTTTTTCAAGTGATGAGGTCTTAATAATTTTAAGTTAAAAAAATTTTATTGTTAATAACTGAAATCAATAACTCTAGTTTTATTGTAAAATTAAACTATTTTAGAAAGTTTTAAATTGAATTGATTACATCGGTTAAGTAATTTCTTTTTAATTTTGTAAAGGGAAAAGCTCTAGAATTATGTAATTTCATGCATATTTCATTCCTTTACACTCTTCATGTATTTTTTTTGTTACTGATTGTCATTTACAGTAATCTGGGTGCTTTAAAAATTTTAACTATCTTTTTAGAGCAAGTATATATATATATATATATATATATGAAATTTATGTCATAACATTTTATTGAGATTAAGGACTATATTTGTTGAAAGGCTAAAATATCTGAGTATTATTTAATCATTTTAAAGATAAAAGATTGTTTATTCTTTATAATTTTTTGACCTCGTCCTTTTATGAGACTTCAATAAGTAGAAATGAGAGATTATTAAATTTTTTAAAAATTTTATTTTATCGCTTGTTTTTTAAATCTAGTCAGTGCTATTTAGAAAACCACATATTGCCAATTGACATAAAAATTATTTTTACCGGCACTGCTTTTAAAAACATTTAAATTACATTAAAATGTATCATTATGAATAAAGTTAAATCATTGCTATTAATTACAATTAAGCAGTCATCTATTGGATAGTTATTTATCGTAATCAAAAATGATGACGAATTTTAGTTAGGCTTTTTAAAAATTGAAACTGCCAAACTTTTAAAATTTATGAGAAGCTCAAATTTTGCATGCATTCATTTTGATACTTTCACTTGTACTTTTCCATGACTAACACTGCCATTATATTAGGCATTGTGCAACACTGCATTAAGGTAATAATTTTTTAAAAATTGTTTCCATTATTTTAGCAGCAATATTTTTCAAAATATTTCAAACATTAAGAGCTGCTTAACGTAATCACTACAGCACTTTAATGAACTTAAATATGCCTATTAAAAGCAAAAAATATCCTAAAAAATACAAAAAAAAAAAAAAAAAAAANAAAAAAAAAAAAAAAAAAAAGAGTTAAAAATGTTAAATTAAAACTGTTTTCCTATTTAAAATTTTATTTATGTCAAAATATATGAAACAAAGCAATACATGCTATGTGCTCATTAAAATTTGAAATAAATGTTAGATGTTAAAGTAACAATACAAAAGTATATATTGATGCCTAAAAATAGTAAAAAAAAAAAAATACCCTCAATAATTGAAAAATACACTAAAAAGTAAAAAATACCCCAAAATTTGAAAAATTTCTCTAGAAACCTTAAAAAATGCCTTAAAGAGAAAAAAAAATTCCGAAAAATCCTCAAAAATGCAAATGTCAGAAAAATCTGAGCCTTAAAATGTCTGGATACTAGGTCCTTTTTCTGAATACTAGGACCTGACTTGGTCACATAAAGCTTTGTTTGAATCTAGCTGGTAAAATAATTTTCCTTTCAATATTTTTTAAATATAAGTACATAATTTGAAGTATTTCATTAATATATTTTTGGAATAATATTGAAACTATTGCATTTTGAAGTCAATTTTATTTATAAAGTGAAACACATGACTTTAAAATGCACTAGTATTTGTATTTTTAGAATAATATTGAAAGCATAAATACTTGTGCATTTTGAAGTCAATTTGATTTATAAAGAAAATACATGACTTTTAAAGTCAAATTTGATTTATAAAGCAAAAGTAACTTTAAATTTTAAAAACCTTTCTGTAGATTTTGTGCTGTGCACTCTCAACATTTGTAAAATTAGTAAAATTTTCTTAAGTGTGAACTTAGCAAACATTTATTGCTTGTAATTTCATATTTTTTAAATAGGCATATCGGTTTTTAAATGACATATCATTGATTATTCATTTTTACATGCCAATTAATTTTATTTGAAATTAGTGCTTTTTTTTGAAAGTTTTGTTGATTTATCTTTATTAATATGCCAAAATGCTTTTAAAATTTTGCATGATATGCAGTGATATAATAAATCTGAGCATATTGATAAGAATATTTTTTGTTGTCTATTGATAAATTAATGTAAATAATGAATAATCATTGAATAAATCACTTTTTCTTGAACAAATTTTTTATCCAAACTTGATTTTTTTAATTGTGGAAAAAAATTTATTCATGTCAAGATTGAAATTTAATATAAGTTTTTATCTGCTCTACAATAAGTTTTTCTCAGGTGCTTAAAGTAAAGAATCAAAGGTATTATTAATTTTCTGAACTTATGTTAGGTGCTGGAAATCATAAATGTTAAGAAACTAATTTTTAGCGATTTTAAGATTTTTTTGAACAGTTTCTTTTTATTTGTAAATGTTTGTAAATTTGTAACTCGCTTTGTGCATTTTTTGTAAAAGTTGAATATAAATACAGTAGAAATAATTCATAATTTTAATATTCATAATTTAACTATATTCTGCTTTTGATATTTGATAACTAAATGATGTTTAGTATTAAAAAAAAATAACATTATTTACATCGCATGTTTAGCCATACATAATTAACATCACATTTGTATCTATGAAAAAAATGCTTAAAATTTAAACAGCTATTTAAAAAAATTAACATTTTATTTTAGTTAAATCATATTTTTTAGTTATGAATACATTCACTCTATTAGAAAGCTTGAGATACACTTATCACATACGTATTTATATTCTAGACCAATATATATATATACAGATGTATAGTAAATAATTATTAAATTGTTAATTAAATTTTTTTAAATACATAGTTTGGTCTTCAATCCTTCTTTCAGTTAGATCATAAATTTAAAAATTTGTTATAAAGTACAACATAAAAGTACAAAAATGAATAATTCTGGTATTGAGTAAGTAATGCAGTACTTCCAGAATTAGTTTTAACTGCTTATAGCCTTTTAATCTATGCTGAAATCAAAGCCTTCAAAAGATTATTTTTCATTGTGTTTGTTTTTGTTTCAGCTTTATATGTAAAAGCTGTTTCTTTCATTATATGTGTAACAAGTTATTTTGAGTTCTGCTAGGTCAAAACTCTCCTTGGCGAGAGTTTTTAAAGTAGCTAGCATGAAATTTATTTAGTTTACACATTTTCTTTTTATACTTTTTCATTTTATGAAACACTTGCAAATCTGATAATTTTTTAATGATGCATTTGTTGATAGATAGGTTAAGGTATAAACTGAATTTATTTTATAAATAAAACATAAGATATTAATGTTAATAAAATTACAAGATTAATTCTTTGTAATTATTTAATAAAAACATTTAAAATCTCAAATGGTAAAACTTCTATTAAAACCTTTATTGGTATCAGTACCACAATGGCTAGGATGAAGGTGTATCTGCTATAGAAGGTGTACCATTGGGCCACCGAAACCTGTATAGATTTTGCTAAACATTTTACCATTTATGATGTTAAAGGTTTTTTTTTTAATAAAAATTAATTTTAGTGTTGAATTATATAACTATCATTGTTCATTATTACAAATATATTCATGGATTTTAATGAGCAAAAGGGGATAATTTTTTGAATGAATATTTTATTAATTTTAATGAATGCATTTATAAAATCATTATAAATGAATAATTTAATGGACGTTATATTCAAATTTCTATGTTAAAAATAGTCAATTTCTTCTGTAACATTTGGAGATTTTACTGAATTATTTAAATATTTATTAAAATTTTTAAAATGCATTTTTTCCTGATCCAAGAAGTTGTAATAAATAGTTATATGTATCTTACACTAGTTTATTTCCTTCGAGATAGAGTTTAGTTCGAGATAAGTTTACAGAATGTTATTTTTCAGGGGTGAAGGTAACAATTTGAATAGAATAGCGAAGAAAAGATATGAAATGGATAAACATTTATTTTGTTGAAATTTTCAGTTTGGCAGCTAAAACTACTCAAATTATTTTTTATTTTAGTATTAAGGAAAAGCTCTAAATTTATGAAGGGTCAAAAATTTCTGTTTTATCAATCGGGAAATTGTTTAGTTTTTTTAAAATATAGTTTAGTTTGTTTTAGTTACAATTTATCATGATTTTTGTCTACAGAATTTTAAAAAAATATACTTGTTTTGTATTGATGTTTGAATCATAATTAGGAGCAGTTATCTTGGTATGACAATGTATATAGATATCTATTATTTTTTCAAATTGCAAGTGGGAAATTAGTGAAAGTACTTTTCCTTTACGAAGAGTACTACTTTCTTACATTTATTTTTGGTGCCAGCTTTCTCAAATATGGCAGTTCATTTCCTTTTTTGACATTCAGCTGTAAACTTTACTACTTGTTTTTATGCAACTTGGATTTACTCTTTGATTACAGGCTCTTCTTAAAGGATTAGTACTAATTATATGAAGAAGAATGAAAAAGCAAAGATAATTTTGTGCTTTTGCAGTTATAAATGAAGATTTTGTTTGTTAGTTTTTATCGCATGATTACTTGGTGTGACATGTAATTATGAATATTAGTATTAGAGAGTAAAACTATTTTTACACTATTATCAGATCATACTTCCTCGATTTTAATATTCTTAAATATATATTTTCAATCAGGAATAACAAGTTTTTACCGCAGTTTAAAAAGACAACGGAAAAAGTCATTGAAACCTGGTGGAGAAAATCAAATCTCCTTTTTACAAAGAAATATCAAATATTAAAACAATTTTTTTAACACTAAACATGCCAACACTTTACAAAACAATATAATACAACACACAATAATTGTTTTTTTATTGGTTATTGTATGTTTGGTGTAATACCATAAATAATTGCAATCTAGTTTAAATAATCACATTAATTAAGCTATTTAATATATAATTTTTAAATAAGTGAAAACTAGGAAAGCAACAATCAGAATAAAAAAATGTAATTATTTCTTAAGGAATTCTAATTATACAATATTTTATGAAAATAAGTATAGTAAAAAGTAATTTCATAATTTTGCAGAGAACTTGTAAAATAACGTAATCTAATTTTATTAATGCCACTAAATTAACAAACTACATACTAAACCTATACATAAACTAAAAAATGTACATTGA